CAAAACCATAAGAAACTTACAATTCTATAAGAATTTATACAATATCATTTAAAAAATGAAAAAAGTTGTTCATGTTGCCAAAGCTAAGTTATTCAATTTTTTATATATTAAATCAACTTTGTTTATTATTATTTTTGGCAAGGTTATTTAAATGTTTGTATCAAATAATGATGAACCCTAATGCTTAATGTGGAGTTAATTAAATTCAAATAAGGTTAAATTTTCACCACTATTAGTGGGAAAATGATTTAAGAATTATGGAGAATTCATATTTTTATTATTTCTTATATCTTTAAAAAAATCCACCCTTTACAACCCAAAATTACAAGTGGTGGGTCCTGAATCAAAGCATTTGGTATCATATGTCAACATGTCCATAATTTAGTAGTAAAAGTATTTGCATGTAGATTAGTGGTCTCATCCCCAATGACACATCTCATCCTCCCTCAAATTTTGGAAAATATTTTTTGCTCATAATTTTAACTCAAGGTGTATCCTCATTACCCTTCTCAATACTTGACACGTATCCGTAGGCATGACCATGGTTAACTCTTTTCTTTGTATTTATAGAATTATGGTCTATGAACACGTGTCAAGTGTTCAGAATGGTGGTTATGGTACACCTCTAGTTAAAGTGGTGAGCAAAAATACTCCCAAACTTAGACCCCAAAAAAACATTTGGTATCATATGGATAAGATTTTGTTCCCTTTTTTTCCCCCTTGGACGGGTCCATTTTGACAATTCTTTTTTCTTTGATGGAATGGAATAATTATAATGTCATATATGCAAAAGAAAAATAATTACTCATTGGACAAAAAAAAACTAACAATAAAATAAAGTCTAATCTTATGGAAAACCTTTTTAAAACTACTAATATATATATATATATATATATATACATGCACTAAGTTAGACAATGCCATCTGTCCAACCACCCTACCCACTAAACTAATGAAAGCAATCAATCACTGTTAATGTCCCATTAACAATGCATGCCCCCACTTAAAGAATAAAGCAAGTACTGCTAAACGACATGTCGGATGAGTGGCAAAATGTGCAAAAGGTCGAAAACCGCGTGACGTGTGTGATATGAATGAATCACGTGCTTCCTTGAATTTCAAGAGATGCGACACAAGACCCACACCTAAAAATAAAAACCTGATTGGTGCTGCTCCACTCCACACACTATGCTTTCACCCCTTTCAAAATCAGCTATAGGGCCCTCGGCTCTCTCTCTACTCGCTCTTGCGCGCAGCCCACGTGCTTGTAAGTTTGGGGCTACGACGCCGCAGGCATTCCCGGTTTGGTTGATGGTGCAATTTTATACGCGGTGTCTCCTCTTTTGTTTTAGTTTATTTGACCTGAGTATTGGAGGATCCAAACAAGTGGTTTGTGCTGGGAAAAACTTACATGTCACCGGCTATATACACCTTAGAAACTTGTTGAGAATGTTTGTTGCACATTGATAAGTCAAGGGATTTACTTGAGTTTATAAGGAATAGGTTACTCTCCCTATTAGGCCTTCTCCAAACATTTAGTTCTAAACCCAAATTTCCTCCCTCCAAAAAGTAACTATTTGTGTTTTCTACGGACTCAAACTATTTTTTCCCCAACCCTTCAGACTCAAATTTTAAATCCGCAACTTTATTAAATGATTGAAGTCTAATTTTTCTTCATTTAATCTTTTTAAATAACTTTACAATTTATTTTTTAAACAATTTGACCCAAAAAAAACAACATGGGCTGCATCATGGCTGTGTGGGCTCCACCAAAAAAAACATGGGCTGCATCATGGCTGTGTGGGCTCCACCAAAAAAAATTCCAAGCAATAGTTAGACTGGCATTTGGTCCTAAGTTTGGATGTTTCCAAATTTTAATTCACTACTTTTCTTGGATTGTGAGAGAAATTGGGCTAAAATTTAGGATTTTTTAGATTTGGCCTCATGGGTTGGAGATGGCCTTACCAATTAGTTTTGATGTGAAACCTCAACTTCTCTTCAAAACTTGGATGTATGCACTCGGAATAGGCAATTCCCTCCTCTCATATGCGGCACACCATAAATATTTTTGTATGACCACTTGTTATCTAATTTATTGTACTTGGGACTTTTTTTTTCTGTAAGCATTTTTTTTCTTGTTTTGGTTAAACTCAGCGAGGTTTTTTTTGTTTTTTAATAATTAGTTTGGAAAACTTGTGTGCATTTATTTTTTATTTATTTTTTGGATGACATTTTCTATTGAGATGAGCGATTATATACTAAACTCACACACACTACACGGATACTATGACTTGAACTCAAGACTTTACCTAAATGAGCAATTCCTCCAAACCACTACACTAACCCTAAACTTGTGTGCATTTATTAGGATAAGTTAAATTGAGTCTTTTTAAAACGGATTTTGAGCCTCTACATTTAAAGGTTATGCATTTATCCGCATTTCGCAACATCTAGTCCATTCAAATAATCTAACGGTTTAAAACATGACATCATCAACATAAATGTTTAACATTATATAATATGTTTTAAATTAAAAACTGTTTAAAATTAACAATTGTTTTATTGTTGAAGTAAAAATAATAAATACTAAAAACCCATTGCTTTCTGGCAAAAGATGAAGGAAGGGGTAGGGGGCTGTGAGGAATCGGGTAGGAGGAAGTCAGTCAACAAAACATTTTACATATCATCACAGCCATTGATGTGGTGAAATTGCTTGAATTTTCCTTCATATCTATATATGCAAATGGGCTTGAGAAACCATTAATTGAACCCTTGATTTTCCTCCAACTTTGTTTATGCAGAAGCATATCCTCCACAATATAATTTAGGTGAAAAATGGCACAATTTTGGAAGGCGTTGGGGTGGGAAGGGATGGTGAGAGAGTGAGATAGAGAGATGGCATTTGGTATGGCGGGTTAGGTGGTGTTGGGGTGGGTAAGGATGGTCATGGCGGGGATGGGGTGGGGCGGGGGAATCCACTTTCTGGATTTTTTTGATTTTTTTAATCTCATTTCTTAATTTTAAATTGAATTTTCTATTTTTTGAAGTTATTAAATTTTGTTAAAGTTTATTGATGTGTCATATGTTAAATCGTTAGATTATTCAAATAGGCTAAATGTTGTGAAAATACGAGTACAACCACCACCCTACTTATCATAGTCCCATAACTTCATGCATGCATGCATGCATTATGGTAACTTATGACCCAAAACAGCAAGAAAGTGAGCTGCAAAGTCAGTGAACATAAAACTTATTAATCACTCTTCTACTTTCCCTTAAAACTTCTAGGTTAGGTTATGATATTTGCACTAAAAACACCTAATTCTTTTTTCTCTTTCTTTTCCTCTTTTGTTTAACTTAAGCTTTGTGAATTTTTTTCCCTCCCTTTTTATATGTCTAAGTAGGGTACCGTAATATTGGGATTTATGAACTTTTTTTGTACTTCTTCTCTCTGTTGGAATATAAATTATTAACTTTTGAACCTTTAATAGTGTATATGATGAGATTAATATTCAACAATGTTAAAATATGAAATTGAAGACAATTATGATTTTAATGAGTCGATAAATTATTAATTAATATGAAATGATATTATGAAGTGGGCTAAACCGAGTAGTTAGTATTGCATTAACTTATTAACCGGTTAGTGCGTGAGCGCTTCTATTCGAATTACTTTTTAAAATTTTGTGAAGGGCTCCCTCTAATGTGAAATCCTGGCTTCACTACTGGTCACACACACGATAGGACTTAAACTCAGGACATTTCTTGGGAAAACAATTGCTTTAAACCACTACACTAGTGAGTCCTTTACATTATTATTATTATTATTATTATTATTTTGCTGTCAAACGCATGACAAAATTCAATAAAGACAAATGACAACACGTTTACATAATAATAATTTTACTCATTGGTTATATAAAAATATAAGAATCTCTAAGAAAACTATAATTATAAGTTATAATAAATCGGAAGCAAACATTAAAGTTATAAAAAATTATATAAAAAAAGATTCAGAATTTTAATCCCAGCATTATGAATGTAATCTCAAAAAATTTATTAAATAAAAAATAAAATAAAAGAACAATTGGGCTTCGGCCCCATTTCACCAAATAATATGAAAGAATACTTGTGCAAAATTAGATATTTTATTATGCAAAGACATATTCCATGTGTTTAAAACAGCCTTCCACTTTGGCAGCGTCAACACGTAGGGGGTCGAGATTTGGTGCCACTTGCTGCTGATGAATCTGCCAATTTGTAGAATTTTCTGTCTTCATTCTAACCTTTTTTTTTCTTTCTTTTTTGGTCGAATGTCTTCATTTTAACTTTATTCTTAATTTCTTTGCTAACTTTATAATTCAGATTTCTAGCACAAAAGGGTATGAACTATTTAAATCGGTCAAATTAAATTAATTTGAGTGGTGTGGTTCGGTTTGGTTTATTTGAAAAGATGGAATTAAACGACTTATACTAATTTCATTATTTTTTTTATACTTAATATTTTATTATTGGTTATCACCATTTATTATTATGCTTTATCACACACATTAACTTTTAATATAATTAGATTATTAGTTTGTTACTTTATATGAATGTTGAATGGTGTAGGATTTATCTATATCATTAGTACTAAGAATGAATATATAACTAAATATCTATTATTTAAAAGCCTTTGAAAAGACTGTTGTAGATGCTCATGTCAGCAATTTAGAAATTAGAATGGTGATTGCAATGTTGGCTTTATATTAGGTTGATAATTCGGCTTCATATATTTATGGGCTTTCGCTTCATAATATTATAAATAAGAAATATATCAATAGAGGCGTTGTCTGTGCTCCCCCACCACCCCCCCCCCCCCCCCCCCCCCCCCCCCGCGCGCGCGCGCGTGCGGGGGGTGCCGCGAAGGTTTCTACAAGCTCAATGTTGATGGAGCTACTGACAACGCAACAGGCTTGCGTAGTATAGGTGCAGTTTTTCGTAATGATTCTTGAGTTTTTATGGGTGCCCTAGCCATGCAAAGCCCCCACGGGGTTTCCGTTCTAGCTACAAAATTGCAATTTATCTATAGAGGAATTTTATTTGCTACAGCTGCTGGTTTTTTGTCCCTTTCCTCATAGAATTTGACTCTTCTAAGGCTGTTATGATGATTAATTCAGGGGAGACTATTTGGGCTATTGTCAGCAACATTGTGGATGATGTGAGAGACTTGCTCATGCGGTTTTCTTTAAAGGAAGTCCAAATTCGACATAGGGAGTGTAACAAAGTGGTTCGTGCTATTGCTCGTTTTGCTTTACACGAAGAAGGTCCTTATTGTTAGTTAGAAGAAGACCCTGTGTGGCTAATGAATTGTATTCTTGATGACCTTATTGTAACCAATGCTTCCGGTTTATGAAATTTAGTTATTTTCAATCAAATAAATAAATAAATAAATATCAATTAATAGTTTTTTTTTAATTTACGAGCCCTACGTATTCGTTTTAGCTTTCAATAATAAAATTGTTGTATTTCATTTCACATGACTATGTTACATTTGAAAAGTAAACCAATGCAAGTTACGGAAAATATAATCCTAAAAGAGAGTGATATGATTGACTTTATAACGGTAATTGAGCTTAAAAAAAAAAAAAAAAAAAAAAAAAAAAAGAGAGTTAGCATGCTGCTTTGTTTTGGATTACAAAACAAAAAATTCAAGTTGTAAGCAATGAAAGAAATATGATATCGCTATGTCATATATGCCTTTTACCTCAAGTAAGTAGCATGCTGCTTTGGTCGATTTATTTTAGAGTAAATATCCTGAAAATAATCTAATATATTATAATATTATGTATCATATATTAATATATATATATTAATATTAACAAAATAATAATAATAAATAAGAGAGCATTTGCATTCTCATTTTATAGTCGTGCAAGTTTACTTAAGATTTATAAACAACATTATCCTAGTAGTAGCGCTCTTGCCAACAAGCGGTGCAATATTTTGAGAAACGTAAATAGAGATTATTATAAATTAAATTAAGAGAAAATGACTAAGTTGATTCTTCTAGCTTGGGTATTTTTCCGGTAGGTCCCATAACCAGAGGGGTGGCACAAGGGCAGATCTACACTTGGGTTGGAGTGGTCTCCAGCCTAGTGCTGATTTTTATTTTTTATTTTTTGTAGTTTTAGTGGTTTAAGCCAAATATAGGTAAAGTAAATAATAGTCTAGCTCTATATTTAAAATAAGCCCAACTCTCTATGTAGAAATAAGCCCACTCTTGAAGCATATAGGAAATAGTAAACATGCAATGCATAACCTATATAAATTTGATTAGAAGCAAACATCATAATTTTTCTTCTAGCCACCCAAAACACCATATTTGAACATTGAAAGTCTAGAATAAATAGCTATCCCTCTATAAAAAATTGTACCAACTTATCTTCAGTGGGTTCCTTAATCTTGGTAAGTTTTTCTCTTTTTTTATTTTTTTATATTCAATTTCCAATTTGAATTGTTGTTGTTAAGTTTTTATACTTCTTCGCGGTACCAGTCATGTTCAGCCGGAATACCTTTCTTGAAGGCAACTGACGCTATCTGGCCGTCACATCCTACAATGTTGGTCTTTTCTGCTTTGAATCTCTTGATGTAATCTCGAATGGATTCGTCGGGCTTCTTGCGCTGGTTGAACAGATGATCAGGGTTCTTTTTGATCGTCCGATAAGAAGTGTATTCTTTAGTGAAGACATAAGCAAGCTCCTTGAAGCTGTTGATCGACTCGGATGACAGGGTGTGGAACCAGTCCTGAGCTGCTCCTCGCAAAGTCATTGCAAACACCTTGCACATAAGTGCGTCGTCAGCCTTGTGGAGGATCATGACATTTTTTAAGTGTTTTAGGTGGCTCTTGGGATCGGAATCCTTTTTGAAATGTGTAAACGAAGGCGTTGAGAATCGCTTCTGGGGAGCAACCTGCTCGATTTCAGGGGTGAAATGAGTAGAGATCGCCTGGTCCATCTCCTTACGTAGTGCATCCTCGAGGTTCCCGCCAGTCTTCAAGTCTCGAAGTCGGTCATTGACAAGCTTCTCAACGTCTTCTGCACACATTGCTGGTCGATCACGTTGGCGACCATCGTGATTCGGGCGATGCTAACTGATCTCATTTCATGAACATTTCCCTGCGGGCCCAGACGAGCGCGAACGTCAAGTCGTGGGCCGAGCCTTTCTCGCTCATTGCTTTGCGTGTGGCTTGCAAATGCTTGTGACATGCCGACAAGCTGATCACGTTGTTGTCCCTCTCCTTATCTGTCAATTCCTGCTTGACCTGCTTGGTACCCATTGAGTTGTCGATCAATACGTTCATCCATCCTTCTCTCTTCGCCCAGTTGTTGAATGCCAAGGTTTTGAACCAAGTTTATTTGGTGGAGGAGCTGCCTTATCAGATTGGTTTGGTCATCCATCCTCTGAGCTAGCTGGTCAACTCTCAGATTATGATCTGCTTGACTTCGTGGATCGAGAAGAGAGAAGTGTGTAGAGCCCAATTACACACGAGCTAGGGTTTCCTTGGAGGTGTATGCAGGAGCGTGCATCGAACGTGGTGGCAATGGAGGGAATGCTTGAAGTTGCTCCAAGACCGGGCCTAAGTTAGTGGTGGTAATGAGCCCACCTTGATAGGAGGTTCCACCATGCTCGATGGCGGTGCCACGAAGGTTGCTAGATCCGGTCATGGGTCAGGTAGGTGCCACGGTGGTGAGAGATGGTGGTGCCACCATGTCGATTGCAGGATCGTGGGTGGAGTGGCTTTGGGCCGTCACGGATTTAGCCATCGCGGCGGGTTTGCTCCTAAGGTGTTTGCTTCCAACCTTGGTTGTTTGGAAGGCTTCGATGGAGTGAAAAATAGGATGAACGGATTCCTTGAGCACGCGTTGAGTATAACTCGTGCTCTCAATGAAAGCACCAAATGCTTATGCAAATAATTTCGCGGGAGAATATTCACTCCTAGATCCTTCAACCTTTGATCTTCCTTCTCTCTCTTCCTCGATTCTTGTAAAAAAGACTGGAGTAAATAGACCACACTCGGGGGGTGTTGGCCAAAGGCTCTCCGATGCCTAAGTTAGTTCAAGTGTTTGTAGAAAAACAATAGCTAAGCAAAGGGTACAGAGTTTATGTATGGTGTGAACCGGGCGGCCGGAGCCGTGTGCGGTGGCCGGAGCCATGTGGAGAATATGGAGAGTGGAGAGTGGAGAGTGGAGATGGAGAGAGAGCTTCGGGTATTTTTCTCGGGTCTTAGGAGTAGGTTTAGGTGTACCTTGAATGATGAATGAGGTTGTCTATTTATAGGAGCCTCGAGGCTAGGGTTTCGTAGAGAATATGCTGAGTTTATTGTCTACCCAAATTCGTAGGGATTGAGTCGGACTTAGATAATATCTGATTTAATGATATTATGTTCTCTTTATTGAAGATAATATCTGAATTAAATGATATTATGTCTTTTTATGAAGATAATATTTGAATTAATGATATTATCTTCTTTTTATTAGGATAATATCTAAATTAATGGTATTATTTTATTAAATAAAGATAATATTCCATTAATTAATATATTTATCTCAATTAATTAATTGGTCAGATAAACTGGTTCAATTAATTAATTTAAGAGATAATCTTCTTTTCCACTTGGTGTGCCTTGATTGGAGACGAAAATATATGCTCCCACAGTAACGATAACAAGGATACACATACACCTTCTGCATATAATATTGATACTTTAATTCCTGAGAAACTTTCTCAACTTATATCTCAAGTAGTTGAACAATGTGTTTGATTTGGTATTTATTGATATTTTATATTTCTTTGTGTTATATTTGCTCGTAATGTAACCTTGTTTGATTTATAAAATTTTATTCACATTTTTATTTCAAGAGAAGAAAAAAAGGCTTATAATATATCTCTTGTAAAAATAAAATAAAAAATTAGCCTAGTCCTATAAAAATCTCTAATAATCAAAAGTGTCAAGTCAAGTGAAAAATCAAGCAAATTCTAAGGACTCGAAATGTAAGTTTGACCTATTTTTTAATGTACATTGTACGAAGTTGTGTACATCATTGTCGTGTACGATATACACGGCTGCTATAGAACGAGGCAGATGAAATGAAAGTAGGCGTGACAAATGCGGATTAGAGGCATGAATGAATCTGCCGTCCACAAATAATCGAAAAAATAAAAAATAAAAAATAAAAAGAAAGAGCAAGACACGATTGGCTTGTTTAGGCTGAGCAAAGCAAACCCTGTAGCTTTCCCCACTCGCTTCAATTGTTTTCACGTTTATTTCCTGCGACTTTTTTGTCCTCCTTATTTCCCTCTCTTATCCTTATGGGACCCTGAAAAACTGACATCCCATTTAGATTTATGTGCATCAACATTTCTATTTTTTTTTTAAATTGGTGAAAGCGATTTTGATCATACAGCATTAAAAATCTTTACTTGGATTGGAGATTGTAAAGGTTCAATATCTTTAATGTACCGAAAAGAGCGTCTACATAGTAGAAAATAATAATAACTGATTACAAATAAACTTAGAAACTACGACGTCAAGTGTTGAAAAAAAAGATAGCGATTCGCATGCTCTAAGTTTAGTATGTGTACGTAGAAAAATGATCAAATATTTAGTTTGGAGTGCAAAAACTAAGCTGATAGTGCCAAAATCGTTACCCGAAAAATCACTTTGGCTTGGTCATATTCATATTAGTCTGCTAACACAAAGAATGAGAATTCTTACTTGAATTTTCTTTGGCTCATTGATGGCTTGATTATTCCCTTGAATTTTCTTTTACCCCCAAATTAAATATGAAATAAGTTTTATAGAGGAAGAAGGAGGGGTTTTTCTGAAAAGGATGGTGGTGGTGACTCTGGATTGAAGGAAGGGGTGTGGCTGAAGATGGTGCTTAAGGGTATGGGCTGAGGAAGGGGTGCAACTGGGGATGATTGCTAGATATGGGTCGGATTCCTCATGGACGGGTTGCTTTCAAAGAAGATGATAGGGGCATCGTCATCGTGGTTGGTGATGTCGCTCAATAGGGTCTTGAAGATGTTGGTTTGAGCTGAAACGAGGTCATTGTTTTGGCTCTTTAATTGTGTTTCTTCCTTCTCATTATTGGTGTCTCAAATTTTTAGTTAAGATTTTTAATCTTATCTCTTAATTTTGAATGTAATTTTTAACTTTATCGCAACAACGAAATTATATCATCACTAGCCATCAGGTCCATATGTCACATCATCTTTTGATGGTCTTATTTAACGATGAAATTATCACTATTTCGTAAACGTGCCGACACTAAGATATTCAAATTGAAAAACACGATTTAACCATGCTATTTGATGAAAGATTCAATGCACTAAGCTGAAATTAACCTTGTAATTTATTACTTCTTTTTTCACTTTTTCTCTTTCTGCTGAACATTGAAAGATATACAAGACCAGCCTTGGTGGAAAACCATGTCCGCATTCATGGACCCTCATTAGAAATCATTATCTTTTCATAAAGTGTGGTGCAAGCGATAGTGACAACATCCACATTCGCACCATGTGATTATCTAATTAACGACTCTATTCTTCTAACAGCAGTGAGTTAAATCAGTTGGTCAAACTAGTGTGTTGATTCTTTGTATTTTAGTTCGATCTTGTACTCTGTATATTACACTAAAATATCGCTTTATAAAATATAAAAAAATAACCACCAAGTAAAGAAGCAAAGCTACGCACCTGAGGGTCACCTTCTGGAAGCAGGACAAGCTTTTGTTTACAACATTTAGCTTCTGTACTTTGTGATTTTTGTTTTGCAATTGATTCGTGCTCAAGAAAAAGAAAAGATTCCTCAACCAAAAAAAAAACAAAACAAAACAATCTCTTAGCAGAAGAAACAAAAAGGGGAAAAATAATAATGGATTCAAAAATTAGACGACAAAAGAACAAATAAATTTGAGAGATTAAAACAGATTAGCTTGTATTGCAATGGGATGATGAGAACGACGTCGTTGTGGACTCTTTGAAAATGTTTGGCGTTCGTGACGATAAGGTTCATGGGTTTTAACGAAAATAAACAAAGGATAAGATAAATATTTAAAATTAAAAAAAATTAAAAAATAAAAAAAAGATGGGGCGGGTTTTTCACATGGGAAGGAGGAATGTAACACGTGCCTAACAAAACAAAAATAAAAAAGGAAAAAAAGAAGCGAAACGTGCTTTTACGACACGCATCAAGCAAAACGTGTTTTTAAATATTTAAACCGTGTATTATTATACGAGCAAATTGTAATAAATTAATGATTATCTGGTGTGGGAATTTTGAAAACGGGGGAAAGGACGAATGCGGGGCGACCAGATCAAGGGCCAGGATTCAATCTGTGAAGCCAACGCGTCCCCACCCTTTTTGTCTTTTATGTTTTATATTCCGTCGTTGAGTCGTTGTCCGCTACTCGATTCAAAGTAATTAACCTGAGAGGAAAACAGGAGCTTCAGATGGATGGCCGATTAGTTCGATGGCGTGCGCCGAGGATTTGAACTTTCACTGCTGCTGCCGAGTGGCGGCTACTTCGTGGAACCTAACTGTACGAAGGCGATTAACATGGATGCTTTGCTTCGTATTTTAGAACAGTTTTTGCATCCCTTTGTCCTTCTCAACTGTTGTTTACTAATCTTCGTGTTGGAAATGTCATCATTGCGACAGTTCATTGCTTAAGTCACAATTTAAAAGTAATATGTTTAGAAAAATAATTAGAGATCGTTTAATAATGCATGTGTGTGGAACAAATTTATGATTTTAGTAACGGTTAAGATCCTTATGATGAATTGAGTATTTATTTGATACATATAGATAACTAAACGATCTCTAGCTCATTTGTTGTATAGATGAACAGTTTCAATTATGACATATTCACAAGGAGGATTTGTTAATCATAATAACTATAGTGGACAAGAAAGTGCACCCGGAAGATCCTTTGTAAAAATAATAAACAATAGCATATGCATTTGTACATTGTGTTTGATAATCATTTCATTTTTTATTTTACCATATTGAAAACAAAAAACTTGTTTTGCAACTAATTTTAGTTTTATTATTATTATTTTTTATAACTCATAAAAGTTGTTTCAAACTGTTTTCAATTTTTTGTGGAACTTGGATATTGAATTTTGTTGGGGTTGACCGGGAGCTTTAGTTTTAAACCGTAATATAGTTTACTAATTTAGTAGAAAGAAATACAATTTAGTCTAATTAGCAAAAGGCCAAAAACCAAAATGTAACAAAAATACCATTACAAAATATGAAAATTACAACATATGCCATTTTCAGTATTTAGTTTTAAACCAAAGCTGAAAAACGACATCAAACCAAAACTGGACCAAAACGACATCAACCGAAACCAAAATTGAATCACAACCCATTCGCGCGACCTTTCAACTTCACCTCCAGAAACCTCCAGACCACCAACGATCATCAAAGACCACCAACGATCGAAGTCACCAACGATCATCGAAGACCACCAACCCATTCGCGCAACCATCATTGAAGACCACCAACGATCGAAGCCGATTCTTCATCTCAGTTTCTGGTTTTTGTTTTCTGCATCTCAGTTTCTGGTTTTGGTTTTGGTTTTCTACATCTCAGTTTCTGGTTTTGGTTTTCTGCATCTCAATTTCTGGTTTTGGTTTTCTACATCTCAGTTTCTGGTTTTGGTTTTCTGCATCTCAGTTTCTGGTTTTGGTAGAAAGAAATACAATTTGGTTTTCTGCATCTCAGTTTCTGGTAGTTCTACTCTTCTCTTACCCACCCAATTCCTCATCGGGGTAGCCTTTACTCTTCAAATTGGTGAGGTTGAAGGCGAAGGAAAGAACAAAAATAAAATTGTAATTAAATAAAAACTGCAATGCAGTTTCCAGTTTCTAAAAGTCTAATTTTGAGTTCCCTTTCTCTTGGGTAGTTCTACTCTTCTTTTGCCCACCCAATTCCTCATCTAGGTAGCCTTTACTCTTCAAATTGGTGAGGTTGAAGGTGAAGGAAAGAACAAAAATCAAATTGTAATTAAATAAAAACTGCAATGCAGTTTCCAGTTTTTAAAAGTCCGAGAGAGAGAGAGAGAGATCTAATCTGATAAAAAATGGAGACTAATAAATATTTTAATAAAAAGGGTATAATTGTCTTTTCAGTGATTAATATAATGTGGGCCAATGAATCTGAGCCTCTTTTTTGACATAATCCAAAATACATATTCTTTTATGGGTATTAAAACCCAAACTAAAATACCTAATGTCTCAAATCCAAATTACTAAAGTTAATCATGTCTAATTCCTAATTTTCCTAAAAATAAATTCAACCTTTTATTCCAGTCAAAAGATTATGCAGTCAAACTTTTACTCCATTACTCGTGCGAAATAAAGATATTGGAAAATCATCTTATCCCAAAAACCCGCATTTCTATTGTTATTATCATTTTCTATTTAAACTTATGTTTTTTGTAATAAATAAGCCGCACCTCCGCACGTGATTGTGGTGTTAGTGTTGCAACTTGCAGTGTCGGAAAACTCCAAAGCCCTTTCCGCATGGTCAAAAGTCAAAGAGTTTCCAGCTGTGACACTTGTAACGCACGTGACGCACGTCCAAGCTTTAGATAGATGTACATACGCCGGCTTTTGGAGAATCTACGCTGGCGATTAAATCGGCGAACCCGATTTTCCCCGAAACTACCCTTCTTTTTTACTCGGCTTGCGCTAGTAAACTTTTTGTCCGCTCACTCTCTCCTCCACCCTCCACCCACTTTCCTCCCCAACCAAAATTCAGCTCAAATGCTCTCCAAATAAATCCCCAAACACAAATTCAAAACTCCCCAAATCGAAATTCTCTCTCTCTCTACCTTCTCGTTTTCTCTCCGCACCTTATCCTCTCTCCCTCGTCCACACCTACTCTTACGTCACTAAGACGGTAACGCTCACATGACGGACTATCGGATACCGCCGACGATGAATCTTTGGACGGACGACAACGCGTCGCTGATGGAGGCCTTTATGAGCTCATCCGATCTGACGTCGTTTTGGGCGGCGCCATCGGCCCAGCCCACGCCTCAACCCGCTCACCCCCAAGCCCAGCCTCAGTCGTCAGCCTCCACTTCAGACTACCCGAAGGCGGCTGCTGTCGCGCCATCTCAGCCGTCCATCACGCCCTTCAACCAGGAGACCCTCATGCAGCGCCTCCAGGCCCTCATCGAAGGCGCCCGCGAGAGCTGGACCTACGCCATCTTCTGGCAGTCTTCGTACGACTACTCCGGCGGCACCGTTCTCGGCTGGGGTGAAGGGTTTTACAAGGACGAGAGGGACAAAGGCAAGGCTAAGGCCAAAACGACGACGTCCGCCGCCGACCAGGAGTACAGGAAAAAAGTCCTCCGCGAGCTCAACTCCTTGATTTCCGGGGCCGACACGTCAGCAGACGACGCAGTAGTGGATCAGGAGGTGACCGATACCGAGTGGTTCTTCCTGGTCTCGATGACTCAGTCGTTCGTCCCCGGCAGCGGGCTTCCGGGTCAGGCCTTCTTTCACTCGACCCCGGTCTGGGTTGCTGGACCGGACCGGCTGGCGGCGTCCCCGTGCGAGCGGGCGAGACAGGGCCAGGCGTTTGGGCTGCAGACTCTGGTTTGCGTTCCGACGGCAAATGGGGTGGTTGAGCTGGGCTCGACGGAGCTCATCTACCAGAGCTCGGATCTGACAAACAAAGTCCGGGTTTTGTTCAATTTCAACAATTTGGAAGTGGGTTCGTGGCCTATGGGCGGCGGCGGTGCCGATCAGGGAGAAAACGACCCGTCGTCGCTCTGGATTAACGATCCGTCGTCCACCACCATCGAAGTCAAGGACCCGGTGAACATGACTCCCGTTACTTCGGCACCCACCAGCACCAGCACACAGCCCGTCTCGAAGCCAATTCAGTTCGAAAGCCACCAGCCGAGTTCCAGTAGCTTATCGGAGAACCCGAGCGCGATTCAATTACAACAATCGCAGCAGCAAGTACAGCAGCAGACGCAAAGCTTCTTCACCAGGGAGCTCAATTTTTCCGATTATGGTTACGACGGGAGCAGCGTGAAGAACTCCAATTCCAATTCGTTGAAGCCTGAATCGGGGGAGATTTTGAGTTTCGGTGAGAGCAAGAGGAGCTCTTACAGCGCCAATGGAAAATTGTTTTCGGGGCACTCCCAAATTGCCGCCGCCGAGGATAACAACAGCAAGAAGAAGAGGTCGCCGCCCTCTCGCGGCAGCAACGACGAGGGGATCTTGTCGTTTAGCTCGGGGGTGATTTTGCCGTCCAGTGGTGTCGTGAAATCGGGCGGCGGTGGCGCCGCCGATTCGGACCACTCCGACCTTGAAGCCTCGGTGGTTCGGGAGACTGATAGTAGCCGGGTTGTGGACCCAGAAAAACGACCGAGAAAACGGGGTCGTAAACCGGCCAACGGGAGAGAAGAGCCCCTGAACCACGTTGAAGCAGAGAGGCAAAGAAGAGAGAAGCTTAACCAGAGATTCTATGCTCTCCGAGCGGTGGTACCAAACGTGTCGAAAATGGACAAGGCATCGCTTCTGGGCGATGCCATATCGTATATCAACGAGCTGAAGGCGAAGCTGCAGACAGTGGAGAGCGATAAGGAGGATTTGCAGAAGCAATTGGAGTCGATGAACCAGGACTTGGGTTGTAAAGACTCGAGTTCTCTGTCAGACCAAGACCTCAAAATGTCTAAACACCAAGCTAGTAGTAAATTGATAGACTTGGATATTGATGTGAAGATAATCGGATGGGACGCCATGATTCGAATTCAGTGTTGCAAGAAGAACCACCCTGCAGCCAGATTAATGGCTTCTCTCAAAGAGCTTGATTTGGATGTACACCATGCCAGCATTTCTGTAGTCAATGATTTGATGATACAACAAGCCACTGTGAAAATGGGCAGCCGAATTTACACTCAGGATCAGCTCAGGTTAGCTCTTTCATCGAAAATCGGCGACTCCCGGTAAGAAAAATGGGAACCAGAGGAGAGGAGAAACAGAGAGTTTGTTTTGGATTTCAATGGTGGTTCAGGGCTTTTGGGACATTTTAAGGCTCCCGACAAAGCAGCGAGCTCTGTTAGATACTGGTTCCACGCGTTTCTCATGTCTTCTTGGGTAGCATTTTGTTTTAGTATAGATTGAGTTTGAGGAGCTGAAACAATTTTATTAGGTCCAAAACTACATGGCTCCCTCCCCTTTCAGTGAAAATAGCTATATTTTTTTGTTCTGTTTTTTGGTGTCAATTTTCTGTCTTTCTTCTTTGTGTATATAAGCGTTATAAATTTGAACCTCATGGGAGTTCTGGTTAGTGATGTAGAAGTATGTATTTCAGAATGTAACATTTGTAATCTGTTATGTCCACTACTGGATTCAGCAATCAAACATATTGAACTTTCTTCAACTTTTGATCTTCCCCTGTTATCGTTGGATTTCCTCAATTTTTCTATGCACAAGTTTTCATCAATTTACTTGATTTTTTTTGGGGTAAAGAATTGAGCTTGCAGATTTCAGGTGCATGAATTTGTTTGTGGCAAGTGGTTTTAGTGCGATGGATTCAGTATATACCAGAAGGGTGAAATTCTAGCCATTATACAAGCGATAATCTACTTTAAACTAATATTTAAATTACGAGGAAGCGGATTCGAATTTATATCTGCATGGCAAAAGCCTTTTTATGTTCCTACAGGTTATCTAAAAAATGCCCCAAAATCCAAAAGGGCACGCTTCGTGAAAGCCCTGGGGTCTATTTTTGTTGCTGAAAATGCACCGACACTAATGGATCAAAAAAGGATGCAGCACAGTCGGAAATTCTTTGCCATATTTAGTAATTGCAGTTACCATTCTGTAAATGGAGCAAATATTATGCATCATGGAAGCAAGCAGTAAACATAAAGGAACACCAAAAGAAGTTGGTTTCTCACTTTCTCTTATTGTTTCTCTTTTACCTTGTCATCCACATTTCTCCTAATATAACCAATGCTTTTTGCCTCAATGCGGGTTTAAAACAGCTCATACGTGGTAAATTTCCAGAACATTGAGTATCTCATGATTTTTTTTTTTCTCCTCACCTTTATAATAATCACATGCATGAAGCAGGGCCAGTGGGGTATAGGCATTTTGGTACAGCACAGTAGATACATGTGTTTTTCATTTCTGGAGTTGGAGGAGCAATGAATCAGAATTCAGAAGAGGAGGAGAGAGAGAGAGAGAGAGTGAAAAAAGAGCCTCAAATGTTGATTTTTGTTGATCATGTTCTATTCAGTCCTGTTGGGTTCTTCTGGTGCGGCTCAGAAAGTGACCCTTCATGCCTTGCATTGCATGACTCAAATATAAAGGGATTTACTACCTAATGAGAGACCATTTTTAATAAAAAAAATTTGTTTTGAAATTAATTCTTTTTGCTCAACTTGTGGTGTGGGTGTCTATATCAATCAATCAGCCTTCAGAAAACTCACATTTTTAATTTTAAAAGAAATATCTGCTGGCTAACTTTTTCTGTTAAATGTAGTGGCAAAATGATATTTTTATATTAAAACAAAAAAAATGAATGAAAAATCATATCTTGAAATAACAATAAAAGAAAATCAAATAAAAAACCAACAAAAAATAAAATAAAATTAAAGTTTGGGGGAGTAGAAATCGGAATAGAGGGGGGAGAGAGTTTTATGTTAATTTTTTTATTCATATTTTAATCAATTTAATACAAAAATACCATTTTGCTCCTACATTTAACAGAAAAGTTAACAAAATTTATGGCTGGACCATTTGTCATAACGAAACTAAAGTTGAAAGACCACGGGAACGACTTTAGAAATTGATGGACTCAAATGCAAATTGGGTCTAAGCTTATGGACTAATAAAACTATTAACCCTTTTGGGGTTTAAACCCCTTCATATGTCTTCTTTTATTTATGTTTATATTAATCGGGATAGAAATTTAAACTTGCAATCTCTTCCAATATTGTGAAGAGAAATACCACTAGAACAAGATCTAGTTGTAGAAAGTGTGAAAAAAAACCTTTATACTTAATAAAAAAGCACAAATAAACTATATAGATTGTGAGACTATGTCTATCTTTTTAGAAGTGTGTGATTAGGCGAATCAATTTTTAACGGTTGCATATGAGGACTTTAACTTGAGGTGGCAAGATGTGAAGAGGATTTAAAATCCCTATACTATTATTACTATTTGTGTTTAATTAGTTGTTTTGTTAAAGTTTATTAGTAATTTTTTTTATTGCTTATGTTATTGTAGGGTTTTATTTTCTTTTAAGTTCCCGTTCATATTTTAATCTGGATTTGTGAAAAAAAAAGTTTCTTCATCACATTTAGCATGACATTTTCAAACGATGAATAGGGAGACTAAACTTTACCAGACACAACTTTGCTTTGGTTCAAACTTCTGATCACCCTCATCTCTATGTCCCAGAAAATGGATGATTTCATGGAATTTCGTTCAAGCTATGTGAATAAACAGCCTGGTTTTGGAGGGAAAATGCTCTATGATTTAGTGATCGGGATAGTTGAGGCTTAGGTTATTCTTAAGCTGAAAATTTAGGCATACGTACCAAAGAGGAAGAAACTAAAATGAAAGTTTCTGTCTAATCAGTTTCATATGAATACATACCAATAGTTTCTCGACTTTCAGAGCAGAAATGTTGCTATCTAGCTATACCTAGGAAATAACTCAACTCTAAAATTAAATTTAACTAAAACATATATCCATCTATCTAACAGCATTCTAAGATAACACAGATAACAATATATCAGGCGCTCGGATCATGTGAGAACAGCTATGTGAGAACCTTATATGAAAATCAATCGCAGCCGTTGAAATGTATATGAATGGTTTAGGAGAAAAAGTAAGCTTACGGTGCAAACGGGTAGGCTGCAGTTTCTCCTTAGCCCATGTGTCAAGTCATGCCTGTTTCGAAAAAAAATGAGCCTTTGTTCGTCTTGACAGTTGCGCCTTTCTTCTAAATGAATTTATGAATGAACCCTAATCATAACATCCAAAATTTCACATACCAAACATAAATTTATGTATTCCTCTTCTCTTGTCGCAGAAACTCCCTGGTCTACTCTTTCTCTTTCACTTACTCTTTTGTTGTCGCAAAACCTCCTTCATCTAGTCTTTTACCTCCCTCGTCTAGTCTTTCTCATCTGAACGTCTAAATCGGCATGTTTCTCTTGAATTCCCTCTCTCTTTCATATTAAGGTTTGCATGTTATATTGCATTCACTTAATGTTTAAATTTTGTTTAGGATTTTAGGGCTTTGATTTTCTGGGTAAGTTGTGTTTGCAAAAATATAAATTGGCTTCAGTTGCTTTCTTGTGTTGTGTTTTCTAGTTTCTAATAATTTGTTGAAGCATAGTAACTCTTTTTTAAAGTTTTGCTGCGGTTTAAATATTCTTTCATCTTTCCAAAATTTGGGGGGTTTTATTTTTTTTTGGTTGCAATTCTTTGTGGTAATTTGTTGAAGTGTAGATTCACAGTTGTTGCCTCTTCCCTTTTTTATTTTATTTTATTTTATTTTATTTTTATTTTTATTTTATATGTTTTTTTTGTTGGCATTCTACTTGTTGGTTGTCTTTTCTTAAAATTCCAGGAACCTTTATCTTTTTGCTTTGACCCTCATTGTAATCCTACTTTGCCCATCTAGTGGTGTGAGTGTAGGGCATCATTTTAGTGATTTAATGGGGATTGGAAAACAAATAATAAGTACCATTAGAAGTAGAACGCAGAAGAGAAACTTGAAGATCTTAACAATGAATATGAGATGATTTGGGATGCATAAGGATCAATGCATCTTGTAGTAGGTATCAATTATGTATATTAATGTGTTGAAAATAGTGTTGTTATGTATCAGTTCTGTATCTTAATGTGTTGAAATAGTGTGCAGGTGAAAATTATGTATCTTGATGTGTTGAAAATAATGTATCATTTTTGTATCTTAATGTTTGGAAAATAGTTTAATTAGGTATCAATTTTGTATATTAATGTGTTGAAAATAGTGTTTGTAGGTATTAATTAAGTAAATGTGATGAAAATGTGTTGATAATATTGTGAGTAGGTATCACTTCTGTATCTTAGTGTGTTTATAATATTGTGAGCTGGTGCCCACCCCTCAAGGGTTTGTTACAAAATTTTCAGGTGCATTAGCCATGTCATGTGTTTGGTGGGGTTGCATATGATTTAGATGATATTCTTCATTCGTAGGACAATATTTGTATTTGATTTTTTTAAAATTTCTATTATGTTTGGTTGTAAGTTTTTTTTCGACATAAAAAAGAAGAAAAATTGGGAATTGAATTTTTTTTTATTTATAGAGTTCTACTCCACTGGAAATTCGCTTATTTTAAAAGGATATGTGTGATAATTATCTTATGTATTTGATTTGTGATACAATTCCTTTTCCTTGGTGCCCAAGCAGGCAGTGAATCTGTTCTGTAACAAAAACAAGCGTATTTATTTCCTTGGAAGCCTGAAGATCAATCAGTCAAGCTCCACACTCAGAGAGAGAGAAAAAGAGAGAGAGTCCAATTTGAACTAAGAAGGTTCAATTTCACGAGGAATTACAGATGAAGAAAGCAGTAACGCTTCAAATGTGTTTCAATTTCAGGAGGGTTCTGAAAATAATGGCTGCTCCTGCTGCTACTCGTACAATTCCAACTTCAACAACCCTTCTTGTCGGTCCTCCTCAACTGCTCACAAGAAGGTTAATGTCTTCCAACTCTAACCTTGACATGGCCGAGGCCGACACGATCTCCACCAACCCTATTTCGTTCTCCTCGTGGTATTCCTTCGGTGATCCCTGCCTTGATATGTTTTTTCATGTGAAAAGTCGAGATCAAGATCACATCAGTAACGACGACGAAGATGACGACATCAAGCAGGAGAGGCAGAAACAGACCTCCCATTATAACCATTATAGGCTTAACTATCTGAAGCAACTGCTGCCGGTGGCCTGGTCCCACAATCCCCTGACCACCCTCAAGCTCATCTTCAATCTCCATTCTAGGATTCTTCGTAAGGGAAGAAATTATCCGGAAGCCTTTCACACAGCCGTGTTTTGGCTCCACCAGAACCACCCCAAGACGCTACTATGCAACCTCCCCGCCTTCGCAGGTTGGAAATGGGGTTTCGATAACCTTCTCGACATTCTCTACGGCCTTCTAGAACAGGGCCAAGACGCTACTGCGGAGGAGAGGCTCCACCGCGACCCTGACTATAAGTTGTTACACGACCAGGTTATGGATCTCTTGGCGGAGCGGTGGAAGTCTGATATTGAAAAATTGAAGCAGCACAAGCTGGAACTAAAGTCATTCCAAGACTGGGACCAACTTGATGAGGCTGATCATCTTTTGGTATCTGGGACTGCAGCGGTTTGCAGCCTCCCCGACCCCCACACCAGCTCCATTTTGCTTCGTGAAAGCATTGCGAGGAGGCTTTTCCCACCAGAATCGGATCAATCCGAAGAGTGGGAACGGCTAACCAACGCTTTGGAGCCCTTTTTAAATTACTACATGCATCGAGCCTTACATGGGAACCACACACTAGAGCGCGCTGAGGTAAAATGTTTGGAGGAGGTGAAAGCAGCAGCTGCAGCAGGAGGCAATTTAGGAGGCGGCATAATAAAGCCGGATGCTTTGCTTCCAAATGAGATCATGAAATATGCAGAAGATGAGGATTTCGGGGAAGCGGCTAACCTTCAGTGGAAGGCAATGGTGGAGGACATGTACCTGAAGCAGCGGCAAAAGCAGGGGGAAGAAGGTTTGGGCAAATTTAAAAACTGTTTGGCAGTGTGTAACATCACCGATCACACGGCCAAATTACAAAGAGAATTGGGGGTGAGTTTGGGACTTTTGGTTTCGGAACTGAACGAAGATCCGGCATGGAAAGGAAAGGTGATCAGTTTCGGTGATTTGCCCGATGGTCAGTCTCAGCCGCTGCTGCATTCGATACAAGGCGATGATCTCAAGTCCAAGTGCGAGTTTATGATGAGGACATGTCGCATGAAGTCCAACAAGAGTGTCGATTTTCGGAAGGTGTGTGATCTGATTCTGGAAGTGGTTGAGAATGAGAACTTGAAGGCAGAGCAGATGATCAAGAAAGTGTTTGTGCTCACCGACCTCACAGGATTCTTTAGCTGCACCTCGAAGACTCTGTATGAAGCAAAACAGAGCAAGCATGAGGAGCTTGAGGCTTCCGGATACGATGCGTGGCCATTGCCTCACATTTTGCTTTGGAATATTAGTGAATGGAAGTATCCTCATTCAGAAGAACATCATCCAGGGGTGACGCTGATGAGTGGCGTCAACGACAATTTGATCAAGTCCTTCATGGACAATGGTGGGGAAATTGGCCCGCGACAGGTCATGGAAGCAGCCATCGCTGACAGAGAGTTTCAAACTTTCTCTGTCGTCGACTGAACTTTAATTTTAGAGTTGAGTTATTTCCTAGGTATAGCCAGATAGCAACATTTCTGCTCTGAAAGTGGAGAAACTATTGGTTTGGCATGTATTAATTGAAACTGATCAGACAGAAACTTTCATTTTAATCTTCTGCTTATACCGTATTCATATGAAACTGATTACACACAAACTAAATTTTCAGCTTAAGAAGAACCTAAGCCTCAACTACCCCGATCACTAAATCATACAACATTTTCCCATCAAAACCAGCTGTTCATTCACATAGCTTGAACGTAATTCAATGAAATCGTCCATTTTCCGGGACATAGAGATGAGGGTGATCAGAAGTTTGAACAAAAGCAATGTTGTGTATGGTAATAAAGTTTAGTCTCCCTATTCGTCGTTTGAAAATGTCATGCTAAATGTGATGAAGAAACTTTTTTTTCTTTCACAAATCCAGATTAAAATATGAACCGGAACTTAAAGAAAATAAAAAAATTACTAATAAACTTTAACAAAACAACTAATTAAACACGAATATATAGTAATAATAGTTTAGGTTTCTACACTTAACAAGTCCCTAGTGAATCTAATCCTTGATTTTAAATCCTCTTCACATCTTCCCACCTCAAGTTCATCTTCAAGTCCTCATATGCAACTGCGAAAAATTTATTCGCCTAATCACACACTTCAAAAAAATAGACATAGTCTCACAATCTATATGGTTTCCGAAAACTCTTTTATGTGACATGTTATTGGTGCTTTTTTAATTAACTAAAAACTTTTTAAAACACAATTTCTACAACTACATCTTGTTCTAGTGGTATTTCTCTTCACAATATGGGAAGAGATTGCAACTTCGAATCGCCCATCCCGGTTAATATAAACATAAATAAAAGAAGACATATGAAGGGGTTTAAATCCCAAAATTAGCCAGCTGATATTTCTTTGAAATTAAAGATGTGAGTTTTCTTAAGGCTGATTGATATAGACACCCACACCACAAGTTGGGCAAAAAGAATTAATTTCAAAACAATTTTGCTTTATTAAAAATGGTCTCTCATTGGGTAGTAAATCCCTTTATATTTGAGTCATGCAATGCAAGGCATGAAGGGTCACTTTCTAGGCCACACCAGAAGAACCCAACAGGACTGAATAGAACATGATCAACAAAAATCAACATTTAAGGCGCTTTTTTTGGTGCCACGTGTGATTAGAGCTTGATTTTTTATTTTTTATTATTTTTTTGTGTGTGTTAACCTTAAAAATTTATAAGAAATTAATACAAATACAAAAATACATTGAATTTTTTATATTTTTTATTCCAAATTCCTTGCAACATTATCCTCGACTATGACGTATGAAAACAAAATTTTTACCTTGTTGGGAAATTTGAAGTAATAAACCAATGAAACATACGATCAATTATTAAGAAAAGATAGAATGATGTGCCTAGCAGTAAAACAATTCACAAAGCAATTATCATGACACAAAACTAAAGGAACTCATATCATGCATTTATGGATGTGTATTTTCAGATGATAAAAAAGGCTTTTAACCTTTCCACAATGCTTATTTTATTTGGGCCTCTGAAATTACCAATTCTAAATAGATTGGCACGAACCTTAACATATGCAAAGTAGTTCCTTATTTCTGGTACATCATCAAGATAATAGGAATGAGGACGACTCCATCCACCGCATGAAATTTGCACAAACTGCAACAAAATATGGGTCCCTCCTTGGGCATCAAAATAAATAACACAAACAACTTACAAATCATTTCAGTAAGCAGTCTGAGGTACAGCAAAAGACTCTACTTTGGTCTCGGTAATTAAGTTGCAAATAATAAAATCCACTGATGCAAAACCAGCAGCACAATGGCAGCTTGACAACTCATTGACAGAGCTATTATCAGTGGAGACGGATTGAATAAGACTCAACTCCTTCACTTGCTTCATCGCTATAAACTCTAATGTCTATTTCTTCATCCCTGTAAACTCTAAAGTCTACTGCGGCTAAGCTTTAAAATATAATTTTGACATGTAAAATTCAAATAATTTCTCAAAGTCAAGTTTGTTTTGATGCCAACAATAATACTATGTTGAAAATCATTACTCTCCTTTACAACGACTCTTCCTCCAATTATTACTTCAAATTTTCCAAGGCCAAAATTTTATTATCACACATCGTAGTCGAAGATAATGTCGCAAGGAGTTTTTTTAGAAATTTTCGGTGCATTTTTTTTCATTTTTTATTCATTGTTTGTGAATTTAAGTTAAAGATACAAAAATGAACATGATGACACATGGTGCTACGCGATACTAACACCTGTTGAAAACTCTAACGACACACAATTCAAGTGTCACCACTTGTCATTCTCTTACGTTTATTTCTATTTTTGTATACTTAACTTCCAAAAATAAGAATAATTCATTAAATAACATGAAAATACACAAATTGCTTGTGAGCCTATGTACATCTTTTGAGTTCCTCTGAAAAATTCATAAAATAGTAATGAAGACTTCTTAGTAAAAAAAAATTATTTATGAAGCTTTAGTTAATAGTAAAGGATGCGATGTTGAAGCTCTAGAAAATTCTTTTGGATAATGGGTGGAACTCAATGAGTTGTCAATATGACAGTAAAAAAGAATCTATCATCGGCATACATCTGTAAGTACATGAAAAAACTGTTATAATCCATGGCATACTGCTACATTATAGGCAGCAGCCTTCACGCCACACCTGCAGAGATAGTTTGCAATGCCCAACGTTCCTTTTTTAGTAGGAACATATGTGATGGTTGACCCATTCTCTAAAGGCTCCTGCTGCACAAGTGTTGGTCTTTCTTTCGGTTTATTTGGCAGATCAATAATATCAGATATAGTTTCTTTTCTAGTATTATGTTGACAAGTGTGAACTGATGCTTGATCGAGGGATGATATTGGGGTGAAAACTAAAAGCAACTGCTCTTCTGACACGATATGGCCGAGTTTTGTGAATTTGTATTTTTTCCTTCTTATTTGATTGCGTGTTTGCGAAACTGCACATCCGAACTCTAAAACATAAATTTCTCATAAGCTATTGGTTTTTTTTTGTTTCAGGCGTTTTTCTGTCCAAGTTTTTTTTGGTACTTCTTGAGCACGTTTTCATCTTATTTCCTTTTCATATTTTTTCAAAATTAAAATTTCAACACGTTTATTTTACCACTTTACCCCTTTTTAAATAATTTTTTTCTGATTTCTTATCAAGTTTTGGTGGACTTAGTCTTTGTGATTTCATCTCCTTTTAAAAGAAAAGAAATTGATATTGGATTTCAATATTACTTTCTGAATAGTTAAGACGTAAACTTCTTTTTTTCTAGTTTTTGAGTACACAGCATGTATAAGGGGTGGTCTCGTTAAAACCTTCCCGAAGAAAACTACGGGTAGGAAAGAGTACCACACCACACATGCCGCTTTATTTAAAATGCATACCTAAAACAAAAGCACGAATTTAAAAAGCATTGATAGTCAAGGCCAGGATGTACTACTGTAAGTACTGGAGCCCTCATCTCCCTTGGAAACCTTCCTATCAATAAATAAAAAGAAAGAAAAGAAAATTTGAATAAGCCAAAATTATAAATAAATAAAAACTAGAAACTTGAAAAACATTATAATTAAAACCAAAAAAAATAAAATAAAAATTAATTAATTAATTTCTTACTTGTTTTGCTGAACTTCGTAGTCGATGTCATTGATACTTGCTATAGATAATTGTTCTAGAGTTTTCAGACTATCTATCGCCCTATCTCTTTCTTCTTCGAGTGTTCGAATCATTTTAGCTTCACTTGATTTCTGGTTTTTGGGTGAAATGCTTTCTAGGTGCGCAATTTTTCCCAATTTAGATAACAGAATTTTAAACGCGGTGTTAGTGATGAAGACAATACGGGCTTTTTATAACCGGATAGGGATGGAAATGAATGTTCCAGCTCCACCTACCATTCATGCTTTTTTGGCTGAAGAACTCTCTCAACTGTCAACTCATGCAAGCCATCCTTTATTTTTGAGCAGTTTGCATGTGGTGTGTGTGTCTAACGTTTTTGTCATTAAAATGTTTTTATCATCTTTCTTATTGGGCTTCATGATATGAGCATTAAAATATGGGCTGTTATCTGGTGGGGATTGCTATTTGAGAATCTCTGCGTGAGAACACCGTCGGATCTAATCTGACGGTTGAGAAAAAGCAATCCTAAGTGAAACTGTTGCAGTGGAAGGAAGCCTACACCCTCCAATTTTTTCACGCTCCCGCACTTCTTTTCAGACTCCATCCTCCTCTCAAACAGATTCTCCTCTCAAACCATCTCCTATTTTCTTCGGTCAGAATCGATACCTTTCTCAAACTCCCTCTCTCTCTTTCTCTGCCCTCTCAGTTAGATTAGATCCGAAAAGAAGCGCGGGAGCGTGAAAAAATTGGAGGGTGTAGGCTTCCTTCCACTGCAACAGTTTCACTTAGGATTGCTTTTTCTCATCCGTTAGATTAGATCCGACGGTGTTCTCACGCAGAGATTCTCAAATAGAAATCCCCACCAGATAACAGCCCATATTTTAATGCTCATATCATGAAGCCCAATAAGAAAGATGATAAAAACATTTTAATGACAAAAACGTTAGACACACACACCACATGCAAACTACATAAAAATAAAGGATGAATTGCATGAGTTGACAGTTGAGTGAGTTCTTCAGCAAGAAAAGCATTTGTTTTATCATGAATGGTAGGTGGACGTGGAACATTCATTTCCATCCCCATCCGGTTATAAAAAGCCCGTATTGTCTTCTTTTGTAATTAGGTTAGATATGTCTTTCATCACTAACACCGCGTTTAAAATTGAATTATCAAAAATAGGTAGAATTACGCACCTTCAAAGCATTCCACCCAAGAACCGCAAATCAGCTGAAGCTAAAGAGATTCCATCACTAACGGATGTCTTTGATGCTAGTTATAGATAGTTGTTCTAGATTTTTCTATAACCCTAGAGATAGCTGAGAGATATCTCTTTGTTTTTCGAGTGTTTTAATCATCTCAGCTATCTCTACGGCTATAGAAAATCTGAAAAATCAGAACAACTATCTATAACTAGCATCAAAGACATACAAGTCAAAACTAACGATCATTAATGGAAAGGAAATCAAATTTCCATTGATCCGTACTCCATAGATCCTTCATCAATAGAGTACAAAAATTGCTGAGGAGCATAACTTGAAAATCATGCCTTACGACATCGACTACGAACTTAAGCAAAACAAGTAAGAATTTTTTCGTTTTGTTTTGTTTTAATTATAATGTTTTTTAAGTTTCTAGTATTTTATAATTTTGGCTTATTCAAATTTTCATTTCTTTCTTTTTATTTATTGACAGGAAGACTTCCAAGGGAGATGAGGGCTCCAGAACTTACGGTAGTACATCCTGGCCTTGACTATCAATGCTTTTTAAATTCATGCTTTTATTATAGGTATGCTTTTTAATAAGGTGTCATGTGTGGTGTGGTACTCTTTCCTACACTGTAATTTTCTTTGGGAATGTTTTAACGAGGCCACCCTTTATACATGTTGTGTACTCAAAAACTAGAAAAAAAGAAGTTTACATCTTAACTATTCAGAAAGTAATATTGAAATCCAATATCAATTTCTTTTCTTTTAAAAGGAGATGAAATCACAAAGACTAAGTCCACCAAAACTTGATAAGAAATCAGAAAAAATTAATTTTTTTTGTCAAAATCAGAAAAAATTAATTAAAAAGCGGTATAGTGGTAAAATAAACGTGTTGAAATTTTAATTTTGAAAAAAATATGAAAAGGAAATAAGATGAAAACGTGCTCACGAAATACCAAAAAATACTTGGACAGAAAAACCCCTGAAACAAAAAAACCAATAGCTTATGAGAAATTTATGTTTTAGAGTTCGAATGTGCAGTTTCGCAAACACGCAATAAAATAAGAAGCAAAAAAATACAAATTCACAAAACTCAGCCATATCGTGTGAGAAGAGCAGTTGCTTTTAGTTTTCACCCCAATATCATCCCTCGATCAAGCATCAGTTCACACTTGTCAACATAATACTAGAAAACAAACTGTATCTGATATTATTGATCTGCCAAATAAACCGAAAGAAAGACTAACACTTGTGCAGGAGGAGCCTTTAGAGAATGGGTCAACCATCACATATGTTCCTACTAGAAAAAGGAACGTTGGGCATTGCAAACTATCTCTGCAGGTGTGGCGTGAAGGCTGCTGCCTATAATCATAGTCATAGTCGAGGATAATGTTGCTAGTTTGGAAAAAAAAAAGTTCAATGTATTTTTGTATTTGTATTAATTTCTTATAAATTTTTGAGGTTAACACAAAAAAATAAAATAAATATAAATAAATAAAGCTCTAATCACACGTGGCACTAAAAAAAGCGCTTCAAATGTTGATTTTTGTGGATCATGTTCTATTCAGTCCTGTTGGGTTCTTCTGGTGTGGCCTAGGAAGTGACCCTTCATGCCTTGTATTGCATGACTCAAATATAAAGGGATTTACTATCTAATGAGAGACCCTTTTTAATAAACCAAAATTGTTTTGAAATTAATTCTTTTTGCCCAACTTGTGGTGTGGGTGTCTATATCAATCAGCCTTAAGAAAACTCACATCTTTAATTTCAAAGAAATATCAGCTGGCTAATTTTGGGATTTAAACCCCTTCATATGTCTTCTTTTATTTATGTTTATATTAATCGGGATGGGGGATTTGAACTTGCAATCTCTTCCAATATTGTGAAGAGAAATACTACTAGAACAAGATCTAGTTGTAGAAAGTGTTTTAAAAAGTTTTTAGTTAATTAAAAAAGCACCAATAACATGTCACATAAAAGAGTTTTCTGAAACCACATAGATTGTGAGACTATGTCTATTTTTTTGAAGTGTGTGATTAGGCGAATAAATTTTTCATGGTTGCATATGAGGACTTGAAGATGAACTTGAGGTGGGAAGATGTGAAGAGGATTTAAAATCAAGGATTAGATTCACTAGGGACTTGTTAAGTGTAGAAACCTATACTATTATTACTATATATTCGTGTTTAATTAGTTGTTTTGTTAAAGTTTATTAGTAATTTTTTTATGGCTTATTTATTTACATGCCTCCTGTGCTTTCAAACTTGTCTCATATTACCACATGTGTTTACAAACGTCTCAAAGTACCCCCCAACATTTTAAAAACCGTCTCACGTTACCCCTTCCGTCAGTTTTTTTGACGTTCCGTTACGAATGTTAGGCCCCACTTTCTTTTTTCTTTTTTTTTCTCCCCCCCCCCCCCCCCCCCCCCCCCCCCCAAAAAAAATTCCAGAACAACAGCCCCTCCCATTTGTTATTGTTCATCGCTTATTTACCCTCCAAAACTAAAAAATTTCTCCTAACCAACACAACTAGCAGCAAGAACTGCTCGAGAGGTTGAAAAACCATACATGGATCAAAGCAAATGGTGCTCAGAATCGCCCAAACGAGTGATGGAGATTTTGTGTAAAAACCGGCCAATTTCTTGCTTTTTCCAGCGATCCATACAGCAGACAACGTGCTGGTTCTTTTGATACCCATGTCGTCACTTGGGTTGGCGGAGGAGATGGAGGAAGAAGGAAGGTCCCAAAAACTGGTCTGATGAACAGTAACAAAGGGGAGTGGGCTACTGTGTGGGGGGGGGGGGGGGGGGGGGGGGGGGGGGGGGGGGGGGAAGGAGGAGAAAAAGAAGTGGGGCCCAACATTCGTAATGGAACGTCAAAAAAACTAACGGAACGGGTAACGTGAGACAATTTTAAAAGGTTGAGGGATACTTTGAGACGTTTGCAAACACAGGTGGTAATCTGAGACAAGTTTGAAAGCACAGAGGGCATGTACATAAATAAGCCTTTTTTTATTGCTTATGTTATTGTAGGGTTTTATTTTCTTTAAGTTCCGGTTCATATTTTAATTTGGATTTAGGAAAGAAAAAAAAGATTTCTTCATCACATTTAGCATGACACTAGCAATGGTGCCCGTGCGATGCTGCGGGTTTTAAAACCATGTGAAATGTGTACGAAGTTGTGAAATATGTAGGAAAGATTGTACTATTTATATAGACATGGAGATCTAAACAGTGGCATCATGCTTTGTTTAGCAAGTCTAAGTTACAAAAAAAATAGGATAATAACATGTTTTTTATGTTGTTTGTCATGATTAAAATACTGACCATATTTTAATATATCAATTAGCAGTCAAAACATCACAAAATATCGACAACATTGAGCTGCTCATTGTTCAAAAGAGTTTGGATAGGTCTTTATATATATATGCTATTGGGTGGTGGAAGAGGATTTTTCTGCCTTGATCTCTATTAGAAAGGGTTCTTTCTCTTGTTAGCTCTGCTGTAGAGGTGGCTTATGTTCTTTCTTGTCCTTTGCGGAGGTTTTAACTCTGTTGGTACAAATATAGAAAATGATAGGTGTTAATGTCAGTAGAATAAAGGCAGAAATCACAGGCTATAGGTTATAGTTTTGTTCATTACATCTAAAACATCTTATAAGATCATCAAATTTTTTCCATCTCTTTCATTTGTAAACTCTAATGGGTTTGACCAAAATGTACTCATCACCTACCCCTCAATTGGTGGGAACAGTTTTTTCACTAACGCCCTTAACTATGTAAATAACTACATTTAAAAAGTAGGCAAACAGATAATAAACAAACAGGAATTCTCATGTTTCACCAAAAACAAACAGTTTCACCTCTGAGCAATAATAAATTGCAGAAATTGTAAATTGAAATAAAGTTATGTTCCTGTATTCAATGAAAGAGAGCAAACTTACAGTTGAATCTGTAGTGAAGTTGAAATACTGGAATAAGATTCCCAAGACCAAGAAAACAATTCCAACAATAATACCCAATGACTCATGCCTGCAAAACACAAATGGAACGTTAACTATAAAAGATAAGTTTGGGGTATGAAACATCAGACTAACATAATAGACTATTTATATTTTGGAAAAGCAAAAAGAGGATCTTCTCCGGTACATACTTCATAATATTTGGATTTTGCATTTCTAGAACAAACCTTCTGAACCTTCTGAAACAGAAATCTAGATTTCTCACTAAAATTAATTTCTAGGGAATAGAAAAGGAAAAACCAAAGTTAAAACTATGGATGATAATCACTGTGCCTTAATTGTCTAAATCACTGATGCTGCAAATCATCAAACTTTCCATAAACAACAGTTTAAACAATGAGCTCCAAAGACTCAGTAACATAGATGAAAGAGTTGAGCTGCAAATTTAGCATGCAGCAGAACCTATATAATTTTGGTTTTCCATTAGACGAAGGCTGATGGCAAAAACTACTTGTGAGCATTCATATTGACCTTCAAACCACGAAGGACGGAAAAAATAAATAAATAAATAAAGGACACAAATGTTTTGCGGTAAAAATTCTAAAAATTAAAATCACAAATGAAAACGGTACCTAACCACCTAATTATAATTAATAATTAAGTTTTAATTAGCTTGGGAAATTGGGTAAATATATATCATATTTTATAATCAATTGCTTATATCTACTTTTACATTTTTCGGGTTTGCTTCTTTTCTGTATCAGTCAATTGGTTGCCTTGTTTGTAGAAACAGAAAATTTTGGTATTTTGCACCTCAACAGAGATGAGGTTGCCCGCCCACTTTTACATTGCGTCAGTTTACAGCAGAAATCTTTTAAACCAGATTGTAGCACAACAAAATGACAGCATATAAACCTAAAGCTAGCAACCTTTTTCCATGAAAACCAATTGGATAAAGATGGCCCAAATTAGAACTGGTCAAGCTGTATTTCCGGTTGGCATTTACCCTAATCCAAATACCAAGTTAACAAAATAACATTTGGTTGTCATTTTTCCAACCAAAAAACTAACCCCCCAAAACATTGTATATTTCAATCTCCTCTCTCTCTCTCTTTCTCCCTAATCCATCACCGTCATGAAATGGTAGAACCCTTTGCATCTCCAACCCTACCCATTCCTCTTTCGTATGCAAGCTTAGCCTGAAGGCTTTCAACCTCTCTTTGTTGAAGAGCTTTCTTGCTAGCCAAGGCACACACACATATTGTAACGATGACCCTTAATTGCCTAACTTGCCAGGTCCTCAACAGGACAAACTCCTCTGGCTCTGATAATGATAATGTACGCAAGGACAAGGCTTATAGGAAACTTTGTTGTGTAAACATCAATATGGAGAGAAGCTGGTCTGGGAACCTAACTCCGCCGTCTTACGAGCAAATCCAGGAATCTTCTATGTTTATGCAGGATAAGAAGAAGGTGAAGATGTCCCTGGGGCATCGCCGGCTTATGAGTACAGGTGGGGTTGCATATGAAGGAAGCACCGAACCGCGCTTGGTGAGGAGCTCTGGAATGAGAAGGGATTGGAGCTTTGAGAATTTGGCTCTCCTCAGAAACGAGAAGAAAGGGAGAAACTCTTAAGATATAATTGACACAAGTTTAATCTTTTCATGCTCAATTCTTTTTTCTTCTTCTTTATTTCTTTCTTTTTCACTTTTTTAATTTTATTTTCATTTGTTTGTTTACTTTTCTGAGCTTTGTGTCGTTATCTTTTGAGACGGAGAGAAATGCAAATGTGTCAATTGAAGTTTGATCGTTGTGGAGGAGATTTGAACATATATAGTGTCGAAAATTGAAATTCCTTATTCAAATGTACATGGTTTTTCCTATAGCCAAAAAAAAAAAAAGGATTATTTTCACTCTTGGGGTTATTCATACTATTTTCTATATTTTAAAAGAGATAAACCAAAAATGAGTTCGGATTAGAATAGGTAAGGATTCTATTCCATTTAATGTCCTTAAGGAAATTCTGTACTCCATTGCTATTTGCTATTGTCTTATGAATGTTATCCTCTCTAATCTAATGTAATCCAATTCGATCTAATTCTACAGTTTGGGATTGCTCTCTTTTAAAAAAAAGTTGTTTATGTTGTGCTTTGAAAATAATTAGTTGTAAAGTAAAACAGCTATATGTTTGGTGAACAATATTTTTAAAGTGGTATTACAACAAAAAACAGTATCAAAACCATTTGGTAAATTTTAATATAAAATTATTGTAACTGTGAATAATGACTCAACTAGACATGATGTTGAAACTGTTATGAGCTAATCATGTAGTGGTAGTGGTGGTGGTGAAAGAGATGGAGGTGAAGGTGATGGTGAAAGAGGTGGTGTTGGTTGTAGTGGTGGTGGTGGTGGGGATGAGGGTTGAGGAGGTGGAGGGGGGAGGTGGTGGTGGTGGTGGCTAAGGAGGAGGTGGAGGTTGCGGTGGCGGTGTGGGGGTGGTGGAGGTGGTGGAGGTTGAGGAGGAGTTGGTTGTGGCGATGGTGGCATGGTGGTGGTGGTGGCGGTGGCAACGTGGTGGTGGTGTTGGTAGTGGAGGTGGAGGGGGAGGTGGTGGGGGTTGTGGTGGTGGTAGCGGAGAGGGAGGATATGGTGGTGGTAGTGATGGTGGTGGTAGTGGTGGTGGTGGCGACAGTAGCTGTGGAGGTGATGAAGGTGGTGGTGGAGGTGGATGTGGAGGTAAAGGTGGTGTCATTTTAAAAAATTAATGATGGTATTTTGGGAATTAAAAAAATTCATTTAAGACTCATCTGCTTGTTTTGAAAACAGCTTTGAAAAACAACCTAAAGTCTGCTTTTAAAAGCTGCTGCAAAAAAACCACTACTTTTAAAATAATCGAGATATTTTATTTTACCAAACACCTTAAACTGTTTAACTTTAAAGTGAAGCAGGTTTTTGGCGAAGAAAAAAAAAGCAATCCCAAACCGGGCCTAAGCCTAATTCATACCCCAATCTATCCCTTCATCCAAGGCCACAGCCAAAAGCCAAAAGGTATTGATTCAAGACAATCTAGAGACTGCAGCTAACCACCAGTGCAGCGAATGCATAACAAATTGCTACCACATTATTAAATATTTACAGTTCTTTTAACTTATTAGCAGATGATAAAGATCGAAGGTAAGCCATGAGTAGGATGAACCAGCACAGCAATTCAAAAGATGATTCTTCCTGCTGCCAATGATGGCATATAAATGATGTCTATGGTGGCATACATTGAAAATCTCTTTTCCATTTAAGCATCTTAAAGCCATATTCTACAATTTCACACCAAGTTGACTATAAATACTCAATACGAACACACGCATAGATAAGAGTCATGTCAAACAAATTTCAGATGCAATCCAGGATACATTGCTTTTTAAAAAGCACACATTCAAAACCCATCACTCCTTACAGATGAAACATCTTGCGTCAGTCTTTATATACTTCGTGGACAGTAATCATACATTACAACAAGTTCGACCACTTACCTGATTTTCTAACTACGACAGTATCGATGTCCAAGATTCCTTTCCCGTCATTGTTAGACTTCCGCATATGCAATCCAATACTTAACCAACTTTGAACTTAGCTGCATATTTCCCCATCCCTTATACCAACTCCATACTATCAAAACAGAATAGTTTGGAGTCATCTGCCCAATATTCATAAAGTTACCATCCCATCAAAATGGAACAGTTAGGAGTTATCTTCCATCTGCTTTAGTTTTTCTTCTTCCTTGCATCGGCTTTCCAATCTCTTCGACACAGTTTGGGTCTATGCATTTCAAAGTTATTCTGGTTCACAGATATCTCGGAATGGGTTTCACTATCTAATAGTGGCTCTGCCGTAGTTCCAGATAATAACACAGTTTGACTCTCACTGGTTGACATAGGAGTAAGGACACCACAACCATTAGGTGTAACTTCAGGATACTCAGAAACACGAGCCCTCCTTGCATCCTTTTTCCAATCTCGTTTACAGTGCACACGGGGTACATAATTGCTAACAAATCCATTCATTTGCACTTCTACTTGTGGTGGAGTTGATTGCTTTATGATGCTAGGCTTCTTCATATCTGCTTCAAGGCGCTTCCGGGCCCTATACCTACGTTGTCGTTCTCGGTTCTTCAGGCGACGAGTCAGAACATCATTACGACTTCGGGTGCGCTCTCTTTGATCAATAGGCTTCATTATAAAACTATCTTGTGTTTGAGCAGCATTCATATCTTTTGCTGCCTGACATTCAGACCAAGTCTAGCATAAGCATGAATAAAGGAGGAATGCAAACAATAACACCACAAACAATGGTTCTCTATTTGACAGTAAACTTCTTACCACTAAAAATTCGCTCACAACTAAGAGATGATAGCTCGCTTCAATTACGCAGCCACTTGAATGGTGAACAAAGGGAAAATGACTTGCTACATCTATAAACGTAGCAATGCATCACTCTAACAAAAACAAAAATTAGCAAAAAAACATTACTTGCACAACATCCTTCACAAGCCCATAAAGAAAACATGATCAGGTATTCATTTGGTCGGAAGTACCAGCTAAGTAAATTTCCTCACACAGCACATTTAATGAGACATAAATGTGCAGTTTTGTATGATTGAGGATTACACGCGTTCAAGTATACATCACGGGCTAACAATCAAATTCTGAAATTTTGCTTTAGAATGGGAAAGACTGATACTCAATTAGTTTTAATCCAGTAATATCTGCTGTAGGACCTTTGTACATTTACATGGCTATGAAGTTATCAAGTAGAAATTTTACATTCTACCATCTCAATATGTGACTCTCCTCAGGTACTTATCCTATTGGACTTATCCTATTGGATGGAGCACGATCTACAAAATTGTTTGTCCAGAAAAAAATATGGACTCTTATACCCAAGCCAACCATAAATGCAAAACAAGCCTAATGTTTGTCCACACACACAGATCTTTCTCAAAAGGGATCCCGCACATTTCTGACCTTTCTGCAAGTGGCTGTCATCCGTTTGATCTCATTAATCTGTCGATCTCATTTATATTAAATGTCGCATAAAGATCTTAGTAATTTGTGGTCTGGTTAAAACTTCAATGAATCTTTCAATACTTTTGGTAGATTATATATCATGAGCACCTACCCCTGATTTGGAAATAAAACATCAATTCTTAAAGGTATATCCATGACCTTTGAAAATTTATTAATCAGCCACAACCAGAGAGTATTTATCAATCAGCCAAGCAGGGAATATGATTAGAATCTAAAAGTTGCCCCTCAAAAGGGGGAAAAAATAAGGATGTAAATCTTGGTTCTTTACCATCCAACGAGGATTGAATTACCTTTAAATCCAATGTTGGCAGCTCCATTCCATTCTTAGCTTCTTAAGCCTTTTATCCAATGTTGGCAGATATGAACGTCAAACGACTACAAAGTGTCTACAACAGTCTCTCTTGCACACGTTTCAGGCCAAAATCAGTATTTCATGTATGTTCTGTATAATTTTTTAGTCCCGAACTCCTGAAGCAATGAAACTTCAGTTAAGAAATTTGATTCCATAACTGATATAACTGGAACACAAAACACTAGTACAACAGTAAAAAAAAATTATCACAAACATATTGCTATTAGTTGCAACCTGCCACAAATAGATGAAATTTTTTAAATAAACAATGACATTATAACTATTATAGAAAGAAATTTCAACCCACCAAGCTACCAATTAACTAAAGAATGGGTTGGAGCATAAATATTATATATATATATACCAGGAAGCTTTAAGAAGGCTGGCCACTAATAGCCATGGCCACAGACTATTATGCAATTAAATATATTTTATATGCAAGTATGCCGTCGCACACCACATATAGGCACCTATTATTATGCAATTACAAAATTTGCAGTTAATCATGTCCAATTAATATAAGCGGCAGGTTAGAAGAATATCAAAATGCAGGTTTCAAAAGGCCAAATCAATGCATGTCTTCATTTTCTAAGAAGAAAAACCATAGTTGCCTAATTCGCTCACCCTCAAGAGAATTTCGATCTGGATCGAGCGTACCCAATCGTGGTACGGTATCGATCTGGAACGAAAAGATTTAACGACTCAGTTCCAGAGGAGAGAACAGCACCTGATAGAAGACGTCGCTGCTACAGAACAGTACCTGACCACCGACAGCAGACGAGCAATCGAGGGCACATGAGGGAGAGTGCTATAGCTGATGAGCCCACGTTTGATTCTTGGTCCCTTGGAAGATATTGGATTCGGAGAGGATTTTTTTGGACGAATAGATTCCAAGAGGTGGGATGGGTGATAATTGGATGGATAGGCGTAAGAGCAGTTCCAGCGGACAGCCCAGCCCAGGCGAAAAGCCCCTGGTCTCCCAAAATCAGCTCCAGCGGTGACTTCCAGCCCGACAAGGCCCAAGGCATGATAGGCACTGACATCAGCAAAGAAAAAATGTTTTAAAAAATTGCAAAACAATTACCAAAAAATTCAACAACAAAAATTATACAGCAAATTTTTATTTATTAATCTCATATATAAAATAAAATTAATCTCATGTGAATAGTAATTGCCCTTGGATTACCATGGTAATGGCTAGAAAAGTACAAAAAAAAAATTACTAGAAAATATACTATTCAAGTGAACAATAGCCACCCTTACTTGCCCTTACTATTTGCCATGGCAAATGGATGGAAGTCCTCTAAAGGGGAACGTACTAGAGATTGGGTGGGTGGGTATGTCAATATAATAAAAGTACTCATTCTGGTTTCAAGAATTCAATTCCGTTCTCCTGGACTCTATGGTCCAAGGAAGTTGTGGTTATCTACCCTTGGATCTAATGTAAGGGTTGGGAAAAAACTGGTTTAAATATCAATATGTCATCTTTTATTTTACTTTTACTGCAGTAAAATACTATTTTGGTTATTAAAACTAATATTCTTTAAATAAAAAAAAGTTCAATATCAGAGATGAAATACATGAACAAAAAACTCATCTTCATCACATCTAAGACCGTTGTCTCCAACGCCAGTCATCTTTCTACTTCACGCCTAGTGAATAAGAAAACATGAACCTTTCATGAAAATACAACATAGTTGTAGAAACCCAAGTCTGGGTTCATGAACTGGAAAGGAAAAAAAAACCTAAAATTTGTTTGTAAAAAATTGAAGTTTTCCCAAATTGGGTTCATGAATCATTCAAATCTAACATTTATAAACATAAAATTGATCACAAAGACTGAAACAACAGGAAAGTGACTTGGTTGTGGGCTCTTCAAATTCAATCACGTTAAAGTGTGAAGGGATGGATGGCTTGATGGCTCCGAATTTGGATCAATAAATTTTCTTTTGTTTATGAAAAAATCGAATATTTGAAACTAAATCAAGAGATGAAGTAGATAACCAATAAGAATTAGAGTGAATCTTAAACGACACATGCTCTTGATTTTTGTCGGCAATGCCGGAGTTGAAGGTAGTTGTGAACGACAAAGGAGGAGAACATGTTCTTGGTTTTCTAAGAGAGCATGTTTTGGTTTGAGTGATTTTTTCTTTTTTTAAGTTTTTGTTTATTTTAAAAGTTAAATTAATATTTTGTACACTAAAAGTAATAAAATATAAACATATTGATATTTAAATCAATTTTTTCTCAACCTTTAGATTAGATCGAAGAGTGAGTGATCAAAACTTCCTTGGACCCTAGGATCCAGGAGAACGAGATTATTCAAGAATTGCTAAGGAAGAAGGAAAGTCGCAGTTCTTTCAATACATTGAACAAATAAAATACATAACTTATTGAATAAATAAATAAAACCACTTATTCATAAAATAAATAAGTTCATAATTAAAATTTGCATGCAGAAACATAAATTAAAGTTTATTGTTGAAACTTCAAACCAAACAAAACGGAAATTGAAAATACTTAAAATTAAAAATAGCAACTTTAGCCAATTGGTCGTTTTCCTTTCGCTTTTGCACTAGTCCTTGCGCTTAAGCTCCCTCCAAAAGAAAAGTGACTAGGCATAGAGGACAGTGAGAATGATGCTTGGCCGTGAACACCTGCATTGTAGGAGACAGATATTCGAATGGATATAAACCAATTGATCAGTTATTGCAAAATTCAGCTAGTTTCTCTTAACATTATGGATGTAAGAATATGTGCTCCAAATTCTTCCATTGGTGAACTTGATATCGATTGAGCCAACACCTTTATCATTTGTTAAAATATATATATAATTATTTATGATTAAAAAATAATTAAATTTATACCTTTTTAGCTACCTTTGCTAATTCTGATGTTTCTACACCATATGTTGACTACCAATCAATGAGATCCATAACCACAACATTTGTTTGAGCCTCTAGTGAACCATAAAAACCTTTTCGTTGATAGAAGCAAGCGAATTGTTCTCGTAGCAAACTAGCCTCAGCTTTAGTTTTTGATATCCTATCAAAGGTTTTCACAACATTCTTCCTCACTTATATGTCTTCATTAGGGCTTTTTCTAGCCACACCCCCTTGTTCTATTCCACTTAAATAAACTTTATCATAAAACCTCGGTGTTAAGGCAAATAAAAGACAATGCATGAGAATATTCATCTTTTCTCACCTACGAAGCACAATTTCTTCAACCTCATGAAAATGTTCGGCATATATTCCACTTGCCATAATATCTTTTATTTCGCCAAGCATTCTATTCTTTCATAAATTTCACCCATCTTTTAGCCATCATCATCAACAATTTTACCACCAGATAAATTGGCTTTCTGAAATTTAATATTGCCTCAACATGTTCCCAAAAATTATCATCTCTTGCACTGTATTTTGAATGAGAGTAACTAAATTCCTTTTGCCTTCATCTAAATTTTTCAACAAATCTTTCCATGCTCTTTCAGTAACAGTAGTTTGTAGTTCTTCTCTACAATCAATTAGCCTATTTAACAAGATATAATGGGATGTGAATATTGTTTTAGCTATTTTCAATAGGGTTAATCGTTTTATTAGTCCCTGAACTTTGACCCGATTTGCATTTGAGTACCTCAATTTCCAAAATGGTTCCCGTGGTTCTTTAACTTTAGTTTCGTTTGGACAAATGGTCCTGCCGTTAATTTTGTTAACTTTTTCTATTAAATGCAGGGGCAAAATAGTATTTTTATATTAAAACCAAAAAAAGGAATAAAAAATCATATATTTAAATTAACAATAAAAGAAATCGGGAGTAGAAATCGGGATAGAGGGGGAGAGAGAGGGTTTAATTTTAATTTTATATTTTTTAAATTTTGTATTCATGTTTTAATCAATTCTGATACAAAAATACCCCCTGCATTTAACAGAAAAGTTAACAAAATTGACGGCAGGACCATTTATCTTAACAAACTGAAGTTAAAGGACCACGAGAACCATTTTGAAAATTGAGAGACTCAAATGCAAATTCGGTCTAAATTCATGGACTAATAAAATGATTAACCCTTTTCAATAACTCCAAATGTGACACACTTTTAAAAATTGTAAAAGCATGTATGTGGTTTATAAAAAAATTGACAATTGACTTTCAGATTTATAAATATTTGTGTTGTGTAAGCTGGGAGTCAAACCCAGGTCTCTTACTTGGAGGTAATTGTCCTATTCGTTGAACTACAAACTCAACTTATCAATTAACATCATTAACTTAAAAACATGAAACTGTCTTGTTACTAAAAAAAAAGGGTTAATCGTTTTATTAGTCCCTGAACTTTAACCCAATTTGCATTTGAGTACCTCAATTTCAAAAATCATTCATGTGGTTCTTTAACTTTAGTTTCGTTTGGACAACTAGTCCCACCGTTACTTCTGTCAATTTTTTCGTTATATTTAGGGGTAGATGGGTCTTTTCAGGTTGGTTTTATTATTCTCCTTCTGCAACTCGCCTTCACTCTGAAACAGACCTTGCAGAGCCTGCTGCCAAAAACCTAAAGAACCAAAAGTTGCAATCCGCTTCTACAACTCTCCTTCCCTCTCATATTGGTTCAATAAAAGTTGGAATCCTCAAGTTTGGAAGCTTGGAGAGCAGATTAGTTTGAAGAATGGCAAGTGATATGTCTCAAACATCATCAGTGGAATCTAACCAAAGCCTCAAATCGGTGAAGTCTTTTCATTGTGGGAGTTTGATCAAATCAAGGACTTCATGGACATACATTAATCCATGAAGATGTTTCGAGGCCTATGACAACAACCAGGTAAACAATTTTTCCTTTTTGAGTTTATGCACAAAATTGGTATTATGTTCAGATTTTGTACTAATGAAGAATTTTATAATAATGAAGAAGAAAAGCAGAGTTTGAGAGCATTATTTTAGGTGGTTGGACAAGGAAACACATTAAGAGGGAAGAATACGGTGTCTGGTCTGCTTAGAAGAATAAGAATGATGGAGAATGAAATGAGGGAGACAGAAAAGAGAGAAAAAATGTTGTGGTCAACACACTTCAATCTTTAGAAGCTCGAAACTTGGAAATGGAGGGCATAATTGAAGAAAATAAGAAGGAGTTGGATTATGCAGTCAGAAACAACAGAAGTCTGAGACTTTTGGTGGAAGACAATATGATGAGGCATCGACAAAGAGAATGTAGGATGAGTATGGGCGCTTGTGTTTTATTTATGGTCATTGTGATGATGATGATGATGATGGTATCGAACATGTCTAGAAAATGTATGGGAGTAAGGGCAGTGAAAACCATTTTGGAGCTAATGTAATTACCAAAATTAGTTATGCAATCTTGTAATGTTATTAAAGCTTATGGAATTTGAACACTTTGGTTTTTTGCAATCTTGTAATTCCAGATTCATTGACCTTAATCTGCATACAAGACTTCTTAAAATTAAGGCATATAAATGCACATGAAATAGTAGAGCAACCTTTCACATAAGCAAAAGAGTCAAACTTACATTAATTACAAATTCAAATATTCACAAATAGAGCCTTTTCTGTAAAAGTGCAATCATATGACATGTTTAAGATATCCTCATATCCACTATATGTTCCAAAATGATAACTTGTTACTCAAACAGAGTACAAAACACAATTAATCCCCAAAAGAGCCATGTTTAAGTCTCAAAAGGTATCCCCAAAATAGTAGTCACAACATAATTAAATCTTGGATAAACCCAAAACAATTACAAAACACCATTCATCTTGTAGTGCATCTTCTTCTCATTGGTAACTTGTTTGGTGGCTGTGAAAATGATGCACCATTGGTTGTTCCAGTGACTCTCCTTTTGCTCACTGTTTGAAATGATGATCTTCCTAACCCTCTCATTCTCCCTCTCCCTTTACCACCCATAGTTGCTACAACCTAGAAGCAAAATTTGACAAAAGTGATTGAAGTTATTCAAATGACATAAGAAAATGTGAGTATGAAACCATATTCAAATATCACTTACAAGTTAGGCCATTTGATTTGGTCAAATTGGTGCACTTCCTTAGATATTTGGAGGCAGTGCATGAGCTTGAGGTTAAGATGATGATCTTCCTAAGCCTCTCATTCTCCATCTACCTCTACCACCTCTAGTTGCTGCCACATAAAAGCAAATTTTCAGTTATAAACATTGAGGTTATTGAATGACAAATCAGACCATCTTCAAATATTAGTTACTAGTTTGGGTTGAGATTGGGCTTGGGCTTGGGGACCATGAGTTTGGGCTTGGGGAGCTGGAGCTTGGGCTTAAGAAGCTAAAGCTTGGGCCCGGGGAGTCAGAGCTTGGGCTTTGGAGCTGGAGCTTGGGCTTGGGGAGCTGGAACTTGGCCTTCAGTTGCTTCAACTTACATATGGAATCATTAAAAAATAAGTTAGGTTAGGTTTTAGGTCATAACGTAAAGGTAAGGAATCTTAAGCCAGTTTTTACCTGTTGGACCCTTTCACATCCTCTTCTATTGTGTCCTTCTTGACAACATCTTGTGCATCGAATCTTGATAAAGATTCGTCTAAGCCTTGTAGGTTGTGGTTTCTAGTTCGGTGGTCTTGGATTTGGCGGTACTGGAGTTGGTATTTTAACCTCCCTTGGTTCTTTTGTCCTCACCTTCCTTGGCCTTCCTGGTTGGATTTTGAAGTTGTGAGGTTTAATTGCAAGTAAACTACTCCTTGGCCATTGATTCATGGAAGGAATTAGTCCAATGATAAGGGCCATTTGTTTTCAAGTAAGCCTCTTTCTTGTACAGTTTATCCACATAATCCTCTATGTCTTCATTTCTTTGGAAAATAGCATAAATTACGTGTGGGCAAGGAATCCCACATAAGTCTCATCTTCTACAAGAGCAAGTCTTTGCTATTAGATCTAAAGCAAATTCTCCCCCATACATATGACTTATTTGATATTTCTTCTCCCTAGCTAACCTTGGTATGCATTGATTTGATGGCAATTTATTTTTCTCTATTATATTGAAGATTCTAGGACCAACAGTATACCTCAAATCTTGATAAGATGCCATTCTATTAGCCATCATAATCATAATATACATCCTTATTCTCTCAAGGCATGTTAGGACTGGCTTATCCATTGCATCCATAATGGCTGCATTGAAGCTTTCACATAGGTTATTTAACAACAAATCACACTTATAGTGTGTTGCAAAATGAGATCTTGACAATTTTTTGGCCTTTTAATTAGCCACCCCAAGCATCTGGATCCTTCTTCTTCATATTATCCATCTCTGCTTCCCACCAAGGCAATGTGGCTGCCCTCGCAGCAGGCCATAGCAAATGTTTCAAACCAAGTCCTGTGTGATAGCCTATGAAATTGTTATACAAATGTCTCACACACATTTTGTGTTCAGTATTTGGTAGAACTGTTTGTATAGCAGGAATTAGCCTATTCTGTTTATCACTTATAAACATTCATGCCAAACCATTTTGGATCCCCAAGTCTGCAATTAAGAGTTTTAGAAACCATATCCAACTATTTTTGCTTTTTATTTCAACTATAGCATAGGCTAATGGGAACATACCATTGTTTCCATCAACATCAACTGCAGTTAAGATCTGCCTTGACCAGGGTCCTTTTAAGTGGTAGCCATCAACACTTACGATAGGCTTACACACTTCTAAGAAACCCTTTTTAGAACCAGCTAAACAAATATAAATCCGTTGAAACAATGCATCATCACCTGCTAGTTCAGTTTTAATTACCACAGTACTTCCAGGGTTGGTCTTCTTAATTTGCTTTGCATAATCCCATAATCTCTCATATTGTTCCTTGTATGAACCTTCAATGACCTTCTTAGCCAATTTTCTTGCCCTGTACACTTGGTACTATGTAATATTCATTGCATAGTGTTCCCTCACCTCATCTTGAAGTTGCCCCACATTCCAATTGGGATTTCTTCTCATCTTATCACAAAATCTTTGTGAAATCCATGTTGAATTAGCATATCTCAACCTGTCTACTATGCCACATGTATGATCATCATGTATAGCCTTTACTTCAAAAGTGGATTCCTCTTTATCAATCCTAGATACATAAAGAACAAATGCAAATTTTCCAGATCCACGACACAGGACCTTCATCCTATTCTTGTCATTTTTATCAAATTTCAATAGCTTGCCATTTACAATGGCATACTCCTTTATTGCTTCTTTCAAGTGATCCCGATTTGCAAATTGCATCCCCAAATGAAACTCTGGATTTTTAAGGTCAGTAGCTCTCTTATATTGCTTGAACTTTGGTAGGCGAATCCTCTACTTTTTTGTCACATGTCGATTGCTATTCTCATCATCTGAGGTGTTCCCATCAGAATATAAAGTATCGGAATCTGCCCCATCATCAGAAATCTCTCCCAACCCTTATTTCTCAGTCTCAACATTCACTTCTTCATCAGAAGGCATATTCATGTCTATATTACAACCTTTATTAGCCTCCTCATCTTCACTAAACTCATAATCACTATCCACAAACTCTGAATCTTCTTCTTCTTCATCAACTGCAGCTTCACAATCTCCAAGAGAAACAACATGCTCTGAAGGCTCATAAACCTCCTTCATTTGGTATTCATTAAATCTCTCATAGTTGTATTCTTCACTCTCAAACTAGGCAATTCCACAGATGTTTGAGTCCATGTCTTTTCACTTATTTTTTTGTCAGTATAGTATAACACTAACACTCTGTTACTTGGTATGCAGCCAACTATGTCACAAATAATATTGTCATTGTCAATGAGCTTTACATTAGTTTCACCATTACTGCCATACATCATACAATATATTTACAAACTTATCTCCTTATTAGTTTTGTCCACTTCATATCCTAATGCTATATCTATTTTCCTTAAATCCAAGAGTGATAGATCATCCATCAATGTCCACACCCCCCCCCCCCCCCCCCCCCCCCCCCCCCCCCCCCCCACCTTACCCCATCTTGTACAACACCCCCATGGTGAATTTCCAAAGTGTAGAACTTACCATTATCTACAAATTAAGCACTAATCTCAGTTTAGTATATTCAACACCAATTTTTAAAATCTCTGCTCACCTAAATAAGGACAAATCACACTTCAATTAAAGCAAGCATAGTACATACCAAGTGTGCTAGTGTATGTAACTCTACAATCAATTGACACAAATCATACCAGTAGGACCACAAACCCTTAAATTCAACTAAGGATAGTAGGACCAAGTATGCACTCAATGTCTGACTAGAACACAAGGTATGCGTTCAATGTTAACATAAAGACAAAAGAAATAGTTTTTTATTTGCCCAAAAGAGAGACAATAACAAAACCCTCAATTGTTGCATAGTTGGAGTAAACACAGACAGAATTCCAAAACAACATAAAGCAATTAACATATAAAAAAACATTTCTTGTACTTTTATTAGCATCACATATCGTATATGTGGGGGGGTCTTCAGACGACTTGAATTCAAACTCCATCAAAGTTGTCGACAACACCTATTGACCCTATAATGAGATAACCAACACCCATCGACCCAGACGACCTTAATACACAACGACCCAAACAAAATCAACTCAAACTATAGTCCAGTTCTCAAATACTAAGCCCTAACACGTTCAAATTCTTCAGTTTTTTGCTTTTGTCTAAAAGCTTCAGCTTTTTTCTTTTGTTTGAAAGCGTCAGCTTTTTCTTCTTTGGTTCAAAACTCTTCAACTTTTTCTGATGTGTTAAATGTCGTATCAAAGAAGCTAAAACAGGTAAAAGTCTTTTTTGTCCCTCAACTACTCCTCACATGCCCTAAATATAACAAAAAAAATTGACAGAAGTAACTGTGGGACTAGTTGTCCAAACTAAACTAAAGTTAAAGGACCACGGGAATGATTTTGGAAATTGAGGTACTCAAATGCAAATCGAGTCAAAGTTCAGGGACTAACAAAACGATTTACCCCTAAAAAAATAGGAAAACCAAATAGAATCAAGCGAGTTACCTATCCCTTGCAATGACGCCACAAACTTGTTGCATAGATTCAACTGTGCCAAAATCGATTAAACTGCATCCTCAACTTGTGACACTCGCAAGTGCACGAGCCGTTGGTAGTTTAGCATATGTAAATGCGAGGTTGATCACATCGGGATTGGTGATTGAATGATCCAATTCAGTTTCCCTACACAAAACAAGAATGAAAACAAAAGAACAAAAAACAAGAATGAAAACAAAAGAACAAAAAACAAGAAAGAAAGAAAAGAACTAAGACAAGATGGTGAGGTTTTAGAATCCACCTTAATTGTTCTAGTCATGTTATGGCAGCAAGTAAACAAATTGATTCAGTTATGACGATGCTCACAAATAAGTCCATGGTGTTTGGATCATATTGCATTGAATATCACGGTGTTTACATTAGGAGTCCTAGAAACCAAATCACATGAACCATTTATATGCAGTTCATGAGTTGCTAGTGGAAGGAATGATGATATGATGGTCCTTAACCTTCCCAACAAGAGTAGAATGCATAAAACCTAAGGTAATCAATCAAAGGATGCAAAGTAGTTCCATTAAAACAGTGAAGAAGAATTCATGAATGAAATTAAACTTTATAAACTCAAACCCTGATACAAGACCAGCAAGATGTTTATCAAAACTAATTACAGAAAGACAAAGTAAATCCACGGAAATACAAGAAGAAAATAAAAAGCAAATGGGGAAGAAGAATGTAGGGACATCATGCTAGATATGGAAAAGCTTCATCTTCATGGCTGTCAAGAGGCCAAAGCCTCCCAACTGCTACCTTCACTCTTTTCTCCCTCTTGTGTACAATGTAATGAAAGGAATTTAAGAATGAGGAATTATTGATTAATGAGTCTCAGCTATTTGGAGACTCTCTATTTATAGGCACAAGGGTTAGCTGAAATCAGATTATACAATTGAGTCCACCAACCACACTTACCTAACCTAACATACAATTGCATTTGAAATTAGTTTCTCCTCTTTCGGCTTAGTGTTGCAGCTTCCATTTCATTTTCTTTTATTTCTTTTGACTGATGGAAAGCTCCACTCCAATTATAAGTAATGAATCTACTTCACCTAACTTCCCCACCAACAGCAACACCTCATGCTTAGGTCAGAATTACTAAGCAACAATTAGCTCATGCTTAGGTCAGAATGACAAACAATTTCGTGGGCTCATAATTTGGGCTTCACTTCAGCAAATGACGGCCCTCCAACTTGAAGTCCAACATGTCATCTTTCCAATCACATGTCATTTGAGCCAATCCAAGGTAGGATGAAGATGTTAAGCTCGAAACAAGTTGCTAACTAAGTCTTTAGGTTTGCACGTTTTTTGCACCATTTTGCATCTTCTTCTATCCAATGCCTCCAATGGTACTTAGAGCTCAATGAACTGAATGACAAACACAAAATAGATTAAATGCACAAGTTTAACTCAAAAACATAACCAAATCATATGCTATAAGGGTACAAAATGATATACAATTATGCAGTGATCACCTACTCACTTTTGATTAAGATAATTTTAATTTTATGAGAGGATTATTTAATTGTGGTACGTAAAGTCTAATTTTCTAACTGTATTGGTGTCATATTCATTCCTAATCTTATCTTGGATGAGGGTCTTTTATAAATGGATAATGCTTCCAGCCCTAAGAAAAATGAAAAGAAAAAAATAATTATTATTATTTTCACTCAAGTTCGAGTCTCTTTCTTTCTAGATTAAATTAATTTATAAAATTTAGACCTTGTATAAATATATATATATATATATATATAATAGATATATTTCACTTCTAATTTTCTTATATTTTTATTAACATTGATATTTAGTACCTTAACTATCAGCTGCAAATCACACCAAAATTTTAATCAAAATGGAAAATAACTCCTTTTGTTTTCTTTTTATAAAGTCACAAAAACCTATAATCAGAGCATCACCAAGGGTATAGACAAATGAGTAGACAAACCATGTTTGATGTGCCACATATGCCCTTTTCTTCTCCAAGGGAATAGGTTGACTAGGTAAAATATACACACTCTCCCTAATGGGTTTGAACTTGGTTGCGAGTGAGCACACTACCTTGACCAACTGGACTAACTCACATACGCATTCTCCTTTTGTTTTTATGTAGTAGTAAAAGATAATATAAAAGATGAAAGTAAATAATATAATAATAGTTAGTACAATTACATTGCTTCATGTGACAAATGAGTAAATAATCTATTAGAGTGATCAATTTTTTCATGTGACAAATAAGTACGCATCGTGCCATATAAGTTCGTATAGCACATGTTTGCCTACTTCATTCACATCTCCCTTAGACGATATTGGCATATTGCTGTAAATTGTTTTTGACAAAATGAAAACTTGGTATAAATCCGCTGCTTATGATTACGACACCCACATAGATTTTTGTAGTTAGGGGAGGAGAAGGTCAGTCAAGACCTACAGAATGGAGACGTAGCAGTATCAAATCAGCGTCAATTCCGTTTAATTTTGACTTGGCTCTCTCTCTCTTCTGAAATCGGAAAATAAAGACTTTCATTTGTATTCGAAGATGTAAAAAGTATATACTAATCAACGCTAGCCCGTCGTCACGCTTTTGGCTTTTGGCTTTTTGGCCCCCAATGCGTCCTCACCCAAACACGTCCTTTCTTTCTTTTATTTTCTTTGTTTTCCATCTAAATTCCTCTCATTCATTCATTCATTTCTTTCCTTCCATATTTGACCCACTTGCTCAACTCTTTCTGCAAATTGCTAATTTACTAAATAGCTAGGGCTTCTTCCCGCACCAACTTTCTCCTTGTTTATCTTGTTTCTTTGCTGCTGATAGAAAGCTCAAGAGGAAAAAAGATCCAGGTTGACTCTTCTTTGCCGTATCACTTCCTCAAGTCAAGGCGTAATTTTCTATTCCCTCTATTCTTACTTTTCTATGTTTCTTTGCGTTTACTCTTTGTCTTGTGAACCATTTGAAGAATTTTCTTGGTAGGTTTTCTTCTTTACCCAAAAGAAAAAAAAACTAAAATTTGTAGGTGGGTTTTGGAGTTTCTGAAATTGGGTTTTCTTTGTGGAATGCTTGTGGTTCAATTATAGTAAGATATTTGTTCTGTTTGCTTGAATTGTTTTTTTGGGATTTTTTTTTTAGGGGGGGTTAAAGCTACAGGGAGATTTAAGATTTGTGGTTTTGGTATTACAGGAATCTGTCTGAGCTTGGAACTTTTGCTGGTTTCTCGATTTGCGGCTTTTGTGTTGGACTGTGAGGGCAGCTTTTGTGCTTCTCGATTTGTTTGAATTGGTTGCATTTTCTAAGATTGTTGCGTTCAATACTTATCACTGAACAAAACTGGGGTTGTTTTGAGCTTGGTTTGTGAGTTTTTGGGTATCCTTTGAAGCTTTGGAATGGTTTGACTTTGTGGGTATTTAGCAGAAGTACATATAATTCGTTTGGTGAAGTTGTATTTGAGATTCAAGGAGTTGGAAAGTTGTGTTTGAGCTTTCTTTTGAAGTTCTGGGCAATTGTTTTGAAGCTTATGCGAATGGCTTGACTTTGTAGGACATTGGCGAAAGTTAATTGGTTGGTGGTGTGAGTTTGTTTGTGTTTTCCTCAAAATGGATAGCTCCGCAAACAGGCATAATGATCATTTGGGTGTGAACAAAATTGGGAAAAATATAAGGAAGAGTCCATTGCACCAACCCAATTTTGCTAATAATGCCGCTAGGCAACAGCCTCAGCCTCAGCCTCAGGTATACAACATAAGCAAGAATGATTTCCGCAACATTGTTCAGAAGCTTACTGGTTCGCCATCACAAGAACCCTTGCCTAGACCTCCTCAGAATCCGTCAAAATCCCAAAGTATGCGGTTGCAGAGAATTCGGCCTCCTCCATTAACACCTATCAATAATAGACCAGTAATCCCACCTCCAGCTCCTCATCCTTCAGCCCCACCACCGGTTCCATACAATAATAACTTCATGAGGCCTCAGTTTGGACAACCATCACCTACACCAATGCCGCCATTTCCACATGGAGACTCAATGTGGGCAAATACAGCTGAGTCTCCTATCTCAGCATATATGAGGTACCTTCAAAGTTCGATGCTGGATCCAACTCCAAGGGGAAACCAAGCACAGCCACAACCACAAGGTCCAGGTCAAAGTCAGTCTCAGGCACCATCGACTGGTTTACTTCCTAACCCATCCATGCCTGCTCACCCGCCCCCAAGAATGAATGGTCCTGTACCACCTGCGCCTAATCTACCACACCCACCAGTGAATGTTCCTGCCCTCTTACCCTCACCAACTTCACAGTTCTTATTGCCATCCCCAACAGGTTACATGAACCTGTTGTCCCCAAGGTCACCTTATCCATTGCTTTCACCTGGGATGCAGTTTCCTCCACCACTGACCCCCAATTTTCAGTTTTCACCCATGGCCCAATCAGGGATATTAGGTCCAGGGCCTCAACCTCCACCCTCTCCGGGTTATTTATTTCCTTTATCTCCTTCGGGGTTTTTCCCCATTTCAAGTCCAAGATGGAGGGATCAGTAGTTTTCACACCATTGTTATGTATGTCAGTTCCATGCTTTCTCCTGAGGTCTGTCTTTATGCGGACTCTCATCTACTTCTTCATTTGTGAAAACAGTGTTGTATACTGGTAGTGTGAGTAGCCCTTTGGGCTACCTCTAGTGTTCATCTCTCATTTTTTATCTTTCTTTCGTTGATACCCACTCTACATCTTTTTTGATTCTTGACTCCTGTATCAGCTGCTATCGTTTTTGTTTATTTTTGTCTTCAACAAGTTCAATTTAGGAAATATAGTGAAGATCAACAATGCAATGGGAAGATTGGACAGGAGCTGTAATTTGAAAGACTGGAAAGATGGAGCTATAACATGAAAGGAGGTAGGACACTTGAAACTTAATATGTAGGGTCTATAGTGGAAGAGTTCTTGTAATTTTGTGATATTTGAATTAAACTGTAGTTTGATGATGTTAATTCTTCTTAAGTTAGCTGGCATGCGAAATGAATTTTCGTATTAGTGATTATAGTTTTGTTGTACCTAGATTTGTTCAATGAAGAATTTCTTGTTTGACCAACTCATAATTTGAATAATGCTACTAGTTCATTGTTTTTCTGCTTTAAATTTAAACATTGTAATGATGTATTGGGATGAAGTAATTCTAGTTTCTCATGTTTGTGAAAGAAAATGAAATTGAGAAACTACAACCCAGATTTCTATTTATAATGCTAAGATTATTTACCTAGATAATGAATTTCTGACGCATGTGACTTTCTAATTTCCTTTTATGATAGTACGAGACAGAAGAAATATAATGTAATTCTTATGAGATTCATGTATGTTGAGGGAATGCATTTAACATCCACCAGCATTCTTCTCTTCAACTATCTTCATCTTAGCATTTTTCCTTTTGTTTAAGCATTAGGCTTCCTAGCATTATTATTGTACTTACTGGTAAAAATGACTCTTCTCCTTGCAAGTGGCGTTGGGGGCGGGGAAGTATTTTTATGTACTTTTCAATTTAGGGGTGCTACTGTATTTGCAGCCATTCAATGTCTTTCAACTCTTGCTCCATTTTTCTTTCGCTTTTACACTTGGATGTGGATAGGATAGGGTTTCAGCTACTTTTCATTGCAAGATTGGGTGCCTGTGTTCCTTTATATCCCTATTTCTTATGATCTGGCTGTTGGGTGATCAGATGAAGTTGAGTGGTGAACCTTATTCACACCTTTAGTTATGGTAAGAACAACATGACCATGCATTTTAAGAATTGTGCATAGAGTTCTTGTAATTATTAGAATTGAGTATGTTATAGTAAAAGGAGGACCTTACTAGCAATTGTGTCTTATTAGCATGATGAAAACCAAGGGTGAGATGTGGGTTAGAGATATGAGATTGACTATGAATCCTCACATCTTGTTTCTATACTGCTTGACGTTCCTAACCTTTAGGGTTTTGTTCATTGAGGAAATTTATGGAGCAGATCAAGTCTGAATGGTTATAGTATTGTTTAGAAGGGAAAGATGAGTTGCTGCACTTAGAATCGATCTAGGTTGATTAAATGATTTAGGACCCGGGGCATAACCGTTGATACTTTTATTTACATAGGACATCTGTATGAAAATTGTTCTAGATAGTAGAAGATGAAATATGAATGCATTCTTGTAGAAAGGAAAAGGGCATAGCCATTTTCCTTGCTATGCCCTATCAAGCATATGTTGGATTTGTACTTATGATCCTATTACATAATGAAGATGAGGGATGTCATAGGAAAGGATGCCCTGGCATTTGTGGCTTATAAGTAACCTGATCATGACCCAAAAGCCATATCTCCTTAGGGTTAAGGGTAAGATGTGAGATTTAACCATGAATCCTCACATCTTGGTTCTTAATGACCTTTAAGCTTCTTTTTTTTTTTTTTTTTTTTTTTTTTTTTCTTGGACAAACTACAGTAAACCCCCCAACCTATAGGGTCATTTACGAGTTCATACTCGATTTTGGAGACATTTACCAGTACATACTCAACGTCACGGAAAACCTACAATTTGCCCCCTATGTTAGCCAAACTGTTAGTCAGTTTGTTAAATGCTGACGTGTTAAAAGTGGGACCCATTTTTCTTACTCATGGCCATGGAAAAAAAGGGGATTGGAGGAGAAGCTAAATATAGCAGATATATGCGTTTCTTACTAATTTGTCCATACCCGGGTATTGCTTTAGCATAGAAAATATAGCAATAACTGTTCAATACTCCCTTGCCCATGTCTTCTCAACACGCTAAAGTGAGAAGAAGAATACATAAAATAGTTCCAAAAAAAAATAAAAACTGAGACTGATTGCCTAATGGTTTGTTATTTTCTGTACACTATCTTTATTATTTCCTATCATAAATTCATTCATCATCTCTCTCCCTTTATTTTATAATTATAAAAATAAAAAATAAAGAAATGTTGTCAAATATCATTACGTGGATGATTTTATACTTGTTAATATTCTCATGTATTTATCTAAGATAATATCTTTGTGCAATTAGAGACTTGTGAGAATATTAATAATAATTGGATACATGAGAATATTTATCGGATATTAATTGGATCAATTCTGCCATGATCTAGTTTATTGTTATTTATTTAAGATAATATCTTGGTGTAATGGAGATTATCTCTAATATGAAAAAAAAAAAAAAAAAAAAAAAAAAAAAAAAAAAAAAAAAAAAAAATTGCAATTAATTTGATTGTGAGTAGCAGAGTCAATACATGTTCACAATTTTTGTATTATTTCTTTTTTTGCCCAGAAAACATTTTTACAATTTTTTTTATACGAACGATATTATACTATAATTTAATCTAAATTACAAAGAGCGGAATTCGAAATCGAATTTTGAGTAGAAAACACATCTGCTCTAGTCAAGTTAACCAATCCACTGCCAGCTCAACAATTTAGACTAACATAATAACAATAATAATTGAGCCACATGGCCGTTGCTGTTTCGTTGGTCCTCATCACATCATACCATAATGTTTTTATTTTCCTGGTAGCATCATCATAGTGTATATAGTATTGTACGATTCACCTAACATATCCATCAATTCGGATACGTTACAGTCCCATGCCTCAGCCTGACATGGGGACCGTTGACTCTGTCTCTATGAATTGCCAGTAACAATCTCAATCTCCTTTTCTTAAATTTATTTTTAATTTGATGAAGTTCAGTGTGAAAGGGTCTGCATAATCTCCAAGGGCACACAACCCACCACCACCACCAACCAAGATACCAAATTACACGATACATCATTGACTCTCACAAAAAACGTATGGCTTTTCATGATTTCAAAATGTACAAGTGTTGTCTACCAGCAGCTGATTTCTGGGTAGTCGTTTCTTCCTAATGTTAGAAGAAGTTCGTTCGTGTATTTTTTTCTTGTTGATTAAAAACCCCAAAAAAAAACAATGGGGAGGGGTGCCGTAGACTCATGTTACTCCCAATAGTTGAATGCCCTTTTTCGATCTTAAGCTGAAAGGGGGAAAAGGTCCTACTATAAATGGACCTCTCCTTTCAACAGTATTGTTAATCTTCCATATCTGGACCCCTACTGTAGTACTCTCTCTCTTGTCTCTCTCTCTCTCTGTGAAGGTTTCCTAGGAAGATTTTAAAGAGGGCGCTTTTATCGATCGGCTCTACTGTATTGTGCCGCTCTTTGGTTTTATGAATCAAATCTTCTTCTCAAAAAACAATACATATACATTTGAGAATTTCAATTCCATTTTTCTTTACTGTTTGAAATAAAAAGGAGAAAAAGAAGAAATGGGTTTCTTTTTCTTCGCATGTATCATTATTCTTATTATTATTATCATTATATTTGAAATAAAAAAATAAAAATAAAAGAATTGTATGTCTCAATGCCATCACATGCAAACTCAATCACAAGTGACAATGACTGGACTCCAATGGTCAGAGAAGTAAGTAATGCTTTCAACTGCCAACATGCAAATTGCTAGCTCTCATCAATGAATACTTTTGCCACCACCGGTGACCAGTACAATGAACCTTTCACCTGCTGCTGCTGTGTACTCTTTCTTTCTTTTTTTGTTTGGTAGAAGTAGAAATAATTAATTACTATTTAGTTACATTTTGATAAATTTACTGTGCTATCATGGGGGTTGATATAGATACATTGAATCTGATAAATTGCTAAGAACTACAAATAATATAGACAGTCACCTTGTGGAATTCCCCAACCAATCTCATTTGAGGTACACCTTATGTGATTCACAATAAATAAATAAATATAAATAAAATCTCAACGGGTAGAGCGAGAGCTCTGCGACCTAGCAAAACTTGGGCTCTCCAAATCCAACGCTGCATCCCCTCCTTGTGGGAGAGGAGGTCTCTACCCCTCCTCCCATCTCTCTTCCCTAGTTTTTGATTTTCTTTCGGGGTTCATACTCGAGCTTTCCTGCTCGTTTTTAGGGCTTCATAGTTCTAGGCTTCTTGCCTCTTTGGTGGGGCTTCTTGCCTCTTTGTTGGGGCTTTATGCCTCTCTGCTGGGGCTTCATGCCTCCTATCTTTATTGTTCCCCCAAATCTCTGTCATTCCATTCCACTCAGTGTTATCCCTTTGTTGTTCTCCAATGGGTTCCTACTTTCCTTCATGCCCCCTATTTAATTCGTTGTAAAAATTAGACACATTGGAGACTACTAAGACATCTACTTGTGAATAACAAAATCGATTAATACAGTGTTTCATTAAAAAAATTAAAATGATAAACATTTAATTGAGTGGTCAAATAGTTTTGAATTTGAGTGATTTTTGTTTTGTTTTTGCAAAGATGATATTCGAAGGAGTACTTAAAAAAATTAGACGATTTCGATCATTAGAATACAATGCAGAATAAACCCTATAAGGATGTCCCTAAAATAAAATGCATCAACTATTTGTACAAAGATTAAATACACATCTTGGGGGAACGGAAAACCCTAAGAAAAGAACCTTTGGATTCGAATTTAGCCAGTATGACACTGAGTTTAGTCGATATGACGCTATGAGTCTCTTTGGATTTGCCTCGAGAGGATGTGGAGTGATAGTAATGCTTCTTTGTTTATGTCCAATACTTTTCAAAATTGATACATATTAATGAATCAGGAATTCTAGTCATTTGTAAATCGATTCAACTTGTTATTGCATTTGGTCATTGGAGAAAATTTATGGGAGACTTTGGAAAACACAAAGGAGAGAAATTTTGTAAAAGAAGCCAAAATAGACAAAATTGCCCTTATTTATTTTTGGATTTCTTAAAGAATCTTTTACATTTACATGTCTTTTATTTGAAAGTTAAGAAGTTTTTCTATCTTTTTTTAAAAAACTTTGACTTTTTCTAAAAGTGAAATTTTTTTTTTGCTAAAACCTAAATTTACTAAAATTTTATCTATAGTTCTTTGTACTCATGTTTTCTCATCAATAATTATTATGTTTATTCTTAAAACATATTAACACATTCCAATGGTGCATTGTGATTTGTGATGAGAAGTCGAAGGACAAAAAGCCCCATTTATCGCGATTAGATTCTTACATAAAGTCAAAAGCATAGATTCCATTTTCTTTAATGGCATTATGGGGGGGGGGGGGTAAACTAGGATATGACCCACTCATCCCTTGCTCTTTCTTAGCTCCTTGCCCTTTGGTTGGTCCTAACTTCTAACTTGCACTCAACAAAATGCAGAGATTATTACAATATCAAAGAGATATGGAGAGAGAGAGAGAGAGAGAGAGAGAGAGAGAGGAAATAAATTGAAAAGCACACTTGAGCTGCAAACCCAAATGCCCAAATCAAATATTCACATTGGAATTTGGCAGTAAGAAAGAAAGAAGACATGACATCACTGTCCCTCAGCTTTGACATTTCTGTACACATGCATTGACTGAAATGCCCTTACCTTCTCCTCACAATTTCAACTTACTCATGCATGGCATCCCGGTCAATCCATTAAAACCAAGGACATTTTGGTGATTCCAAATTTAAAAAAAAACAGAGAGATAAGGAAGAGAGGCGGCGTACTTACAAAATTCAGAAATTAAAAAAACCCCAAAACAAAGCCCCAGAAATAGATTTTTTTTTTTTCTTTTCTTCTTTTAAAAATCCGTGTGAATTTTTTTCTCACATCACCTGCGATTTAGCGTCACCGTAACCCGCCAGCCCTTCGGTGACCGACGCCAGCTTCTGGAGATTCAACTTGACAACTGTATCCGCGAAGAGACGCGTGTCCTCCTCGGAATTCCCCTCGGGCACATCGACGACGTACGATTCCAAAACGACGGTCCAGATCCTTCCGTCGCGCTCGAACCCATGCACGGTCGTCACCGACCGGTAATTCTTGAGCCGGTGCTCGCCGCCGGTAATACTGAAACCGGTGACGTGGCGGTCATCATCGAGCAAGTCGAGCCGCTCTGTGCTGGTGGCCGCCGGTAGCCCGGAGATGACATTGACGTCCCTCGTGCACCCGACGGTCATTTTAAACCCCTCCTTGACCGTACAGCTCCGGATGAAGTGCTTGTAGGTCTGGGGCTTGTCGAAGCGGCGCACCACCGACCACACCTTGTCGACCGGAGCGTACACGCGCTGCGCGAGTAGGGAAGAGCATTTTCCGGGACCCACCGGGTACTTGTGGAAGTCGGCCACGATCCGCTTCAAGTCGTCGAACTCGTCCTGAGTCAACCCGGCGGGAATCGTGAGGTGGTGCTGGGTGTTCTCCTCCGCGTCTTGCTCGGCCGCTGAGCCCTCGCCTTTCTCCATTACGAGTCTCCGATAGAGAGAAAAGAAAGAGCTGCTGAGGAGATGCACTTTCGTTTATTTGGGATGGGGATTTTGTAGGATGGCAGGGGTGAAATGGTAAATGTATTTTGTTTATTAAATTGAAGGGGTTAATTTGGGAATTTTTTTTTAAAAAAATGGGTTTTTAAAAAGGTGTATGGGAAAGGTGTCAACTTGTTGATGCGGACAGATGGGTTCTTCTTGGTTGCTTGACAGTTCTACCTGGCTAAGCTCTGCAAGCCGAGCTAATTGCACGTCTTAATTTTTTTTCTGTAAAATAATTTCATAAAGAAAAAAATAATATAAAAACTATACATAATACGACAAGATTCAGATATGGATTTACCCAAAGAAGAAAGAGAAGGCAATGCTGCCGCAAATTATTATATATATAATAAAGTGACAGGTCAGATTAATTATTGTACGGGTTATAGAGCATGGGTTGGGTCAGTTTGTTTAAATATTTGAACCTCTAGAAGATACTAATGGAAATTCATTAATGCTTTCCTTTCACAACAAGTAGAGTGGAAGTATAATGAATCGTACATTATGGGCATTGTATAAGTTAGTTTATATAGGTTTTAAAAAAAGGGAAATACAGTCACTCTTTATCCTTGTAGTTTTCCCCAGTTTTTATTTTGGTATCTATGAATTCAATTTTGACAATTTAATCTCTAATTTGATACCTATTGCAATTTGAAGACACGTTCAATTTCGTGATTAAGTAAGCTTATGCCTTTCAAGTGAAGGGGTATTGTTTGTCTGCCACAACCACAACTGGATGAGCCACTTCTTCAACCTTTGAATCAAAATTTTTGCACTCTATACTTGTCCTCACTCTGAATCTTATATAAATTGATCGAAAAAATCAAACCTTTTAAGGAGCATGAAGGTAGATGGCACAAGTAGACAAAAACACATGAGTGCTTATTACGTTATGGAATTGGACAAAAATTTGGACATCAAACTAGATGGGTCAAATCGTTATAGTTTAAACTATAAGGACCAAAATAGAAGATTTGGTAAGATATAGGGATAAAAAGTGACTTTTCTCCAAAGAATGAGAGTGACTTAAAAGATCAAGACATGTAAAAAAGAAAAAAGAGTGAGTTAATTGGGAAATCAAATTTAGTGTTCAACGCTGCCTTTTCGAATGGTTGTGTCAATTTTTCAAAAACAATCAAACAAGAACACGTGTACAAAATAAATTTGTATTAATTTATTAAGTGCGTCAGTTAAACGCTCTATGGTTTATTATTTACTTGGATATCACTTTGATTCAATCTATCTGATGAGTTTCATCCAAGTGTTGCGAGTACTTATCGTTGAACAGGATGATTAAGTCTTCAGATCTCCTTGAGTCATCAGATTTGAAGAAGTGGTTTGGTCAGGGCCATCAAGGCTTCATTCTTGAACAAACTAGAACAATGAGGATTGTCACGTGTGGATAATCTTCGGTTTTGGTAGTGGCAGAATCAACCCATCTTTTTTATGCTTTGTGATTCTTCCAGTGCTTAATGAAGTTGCACTAACAACTACTATAGCCCACATCACCACATTAAGCATAATCCCAAAAAAAAGTCTAAGCAACCCAACATAACCAAAACCATAAGCAATAGAGAAGCCCAAATGAACACTACTGCTACCACCTAAAGAAGCGGCGTAGTGGTCACATCGACCACCTCATATAGTCTCTAAACGAGAAAACATGTGATAGATGTGGGGCCTTCCAGCAATCTAATTGCGCTTAAGAGCGAACAAATATGCCAAAACAACAACCATGACAAAGAACAATTGAGTGATTTGTAGCAAACTTCATTAAATACGAAGTAAAGCTAAATTCAAAGAAAATGAGCATTGTTATAGAGCAAGTTTTAAGAAAATGATTTGATTGAAGACATAGCCCAAAATGATCTGAGCATCTGATTCAAAATGCCCAGCGGACTTATTCACTAACCCAAATAGAAAAAAGAAAAAGAAAAAAGAGATGAGGGAGATGAGGGAGATGAGGGACAGTGACGCTTCTTCCTCCTCTCTTTATGTTGAGTTTTTCTATGGCACCCACATAGAGTTATTTCATTATTCTTCTTTCTCATTAGTTGCTTATTAGCATAGTCTAAAATATCAATAATATCAACGAAACGTATTCATACACATACCGTATAAATGTCAATAATATCAGAAAATGTCAATGTCGATAATTTCGCTCACACTTCAGCAATACTTTGTTCAAAATATGGTTATAATATCGCTATAATATTGAAAATATCGATGTAATGGAAAAAATGAAAAGAAAAAAAAACACACACACACACACACACACACACACACACAAAAATGGGATTCAAACCTTTGCCATTTCACTCATCCAACACCTTAACCACCATGTTACTTGTGTCTTTGTGATAATATGCTAAAATATGTATATTTATATTATTTTGAACAATTACATGCAAAACTATTTTGGGGGTTTATCATTTGATGACTACTCTTCACAATACACTTATTCTACACATAGAGATGATAAAGATAATGAAAATTTGAACTTCATAAGAATTCTGTGTGGTACTAAGTCTCTCATGTATCTTCTTACTATGCAATGTATAAAGTGTAAAATATTGTAGTAAATCATTATACATAAATAATTATGGTGTGGTTAATCTTCTTTCATTAATTACTAAATATTTTTCTACACTCACTATGTTTGGCAACTCGCTATATAATCAACTTAAATAAGTTAACCTATCATGCAATGCATTTCCTTCCATTTTTATTTTTATTTTGGTAATAAACTAATAGATAATTGACTGAATAAACATCCTCCAAAGTTTCAATAAAAATTTCCAAATTTTTCTTACAATTTCGTAGTTTTTATTCAATTTTTATCGATATCGATAATATCCCGATATTTCCATCAAAATTTTCGTGTTTTTAGGATATCGATATTTTAGACCTTATTTATTAGACACATAAAATCTCGAGTTCTTATTACTTTGAATCCCCACTCTGACAGTGATTCAAGGTCTTTAGATTTAGTAAAGAAAAAAAAAACCAACATCAAGCTAGTTCTTGATTCATAATTGATTGCTCTGAAATCAGATTATTTGACACATATGATTCATTCGTTCTACGAGTCTAGTAGTTCAACACAAAAGAGATAAGATTAACTCTAATATGAAAAGAAAAAAACAAAGCCCATAACTCAAGTCGAAGCTGAGGAAACAAGCTATAAGGTTTTTGTTTTTTGTTCAGGTCAGCTGAACTTGACATGTTCTTTCCTTTGTCTTCGGATAATTTAATATTCTTAGGTAGTGTTGGAGCTTGCGTGGTTCCCTCTTTGGGAAAGTAAACGTCCATCTCACTTCCCCAGCTAATCCAGCTAAGCAAACCCATCCCCTTCTAGTTCCTCTAGTCTAAATATATTTTAAGCATATATAAATTAGACTAGTTGATAAGGACAGTAAATCCTTTTCTTTGTATTCAAATTCGAATATTCGAATATTCTTATATATGTACGCATATTTATATAAGCGATAGTTTAATTTACTTGGAGGAGAATTCAAACTTAAATAGAAAAAGGCAGGTTAACCGTCCTGACTAACTGACCTAACTAACGTCTACAAAATAAATAAATATATTTGAACAAACCCTAGGTCAAGCTATTCATATATTCGCCAAAACAAGACAAGGCAAATGACGTTCTTATCGACATGAAGAATCCAAGTCTTTGGCAGCAACCTTTGCCCACGACTTGTTGCGCCCTCATATATTTAATTTCCCCCACTTTTGGTTTTGTGGTTCTTGTTTATTCCTTTTGCTCTAAACCATGTAAGGGATTGCAAAGAAGATATTTGATTGGTGCAATTTGTTTAGGCTATGTCCCATTTTGAAGTCATGATGTTGGCTTTTTTGCTTCTATTTTTTGGTTAGTCCTGGAGTAACGGTGTTATTATTACCACCAAATCCTCCATTGTACATAGGCTTCAATGGCTTAGATATGAGTCGAGCCATTCGAGAGGCTAATTATTCTGCAATAGCTGTGTTGACAATAATTGTCATTTTAAAATTCTGGTATTAGAATATATTAAGGCCTGAATTTCCCAATGCATTAGATTATAAAACTATTTGGAGAAGAGCCTAGAAGATTTCCAAGTTTTATAATGCTTTTGTTTTGTAGCAGCTGATTATTTGTAACAAGCATAAGTTTCCAAGGAAGATATTTATAAAAAAAAAATATATATTTAAAACAGGTGAAAATAGGGTAAAGAAATAGTAGTGGGACTAGCAGCCTAATAATTTCAAGTACGGCCAATTGGAAGAGGTTTTCTTCTTCCCATTTGGGCAAGGTTTTTCATCTTTGTTGGTCTGGTTCTTCTTCTTCTTCTTCTTCTTAGTAAGTTGGTTTTGAGCAGAACAAGTAGTTGGAGGGTTCTGGTTTGGGTGCTCTCCATCAGGTTGTTCCTGCACAGAAGAAAATAACCAGACATTATTCCAAGGTCCCATGGGCACTGAATAAGTCTGTGTTGTGCTTTGAATGGAACTGAAAAGAAGTCAGATGGGAAGTAGAATATGTGTAAGATTGAGATGATCACCTGAAACAAAAGTGAAAGTTTTTTAAAGAGAATATTTTGATGTGACCAAAAGTAAGGCTTCATTCATGAACCATTGCACAAAAGACATGGATATGCACAGGCTTTATGCATGATATAAAATTGTCAGCATCCACAATAAGCCAAGCGTGCACGCACATATACATATATATATATATATATATGTATATACACAAATTACATCAAACTTCTAAAAAGAAAAAAAAAAAAAAAAAAAAAAAAAAAAAAAAAAAAAAAAAAAATTAAAAAAAAAAAACTCCATTCAACAAAAGTTGTTTGAAGCAAGAACAAGTTAGATGACATAAGGCAAAACTTTCTGAAGAAAGCATATGCTTTTAGTATGATACTGCCCTGCTGTAGTTTATTATTATTTTTTTATAAGCGATATTGGGGGAGGGAGAAATCAAATTTAGGACATCAGATGCAGAGATGAAAAATTTCTCAGTTATAAATATATATGTAACTGATTGAGATATAAATTAATTACCTCAATTTCAAGCCTTGTGGCATGGACTTGGGATATTCTTTTATTGTGACCTTGATAGGGATTGGAGGTGAAAGTTGGGAATGAGCAAGATGATTCCCCCTTGGATCCATGGCTCCAATAGGTATTCCCTGATGCTTGCGTAGAAGTGCATGATGAGCTGCTGCTTGAATCCATCTCTAAGCACAACTGAAGCACCACAGGTCAATGATAATTTTTTATTATAATGTTTTTACTGCAGTGAAGGAAAATAAAAGCAGGAAATTTAATTGTGTTCTTTATTGATATAGAACTGCATCCACTGAAAAGACAAAACCATTTTTGTTTTCTTTTTGGCCGTCAAATCCTTTTTTTTTTGTTAGGTCACTCCTTTGTTCCAAATGATGATAGTTGTCTAGTTTCATAATCACAGAGGTCAGACACATTGACACAATTGTTTTTCTTAAAACTAAAATAAATTACATAGAGGCTCCTTGAAGAAGCCCAAAATTCCGATCATACATAATTTTTACAAAAAACAGCTACCAAATATGATGATTCTCTCAGACTTGTGACCAAATAAATTGACTAGAGCATCAGCTACCATATTAGCTTCCCTATAAATATGAAAATTGATTTTGTTTTTCATAACTAGGTCTATTACGTGTATACTATTGCCTCCATATAAACACAATTTATAGTTGGCTTGTAGATGTCTTGGTTGTATCGTTATCATTTTTTGGGTAAAATTCTCTATATTCCCCAAAAAAATCACATTGCTAGTGTGACATGGTAAATCCATTGGCTTTTTGGTACTTCCTCTAGATTCTAGAAGTAGTAAGCTGCAATTTGATAATTAAACTCCAGCAAGCAAGCAATTATATAACATTGAGATGGAATTAACCATAATTCACCTCATAAATTCAAATTAAACAACAAAAATTCACCTGAAAAAGCCTATGTTCAAGAGCTGCCACTCGATCCAAGAGTGAGCCTTTGAAGTAAGTCTCCTTCAATGCCAAATCCATTGGCAGGCATTGCCCCTTCAATTTTGCACCACTCGAACCATTGCTACCCAATTTTGCTAACTTTTGTTTTCTTTCCAGATACTTCATCTTTAGGTCACACCCCAAATATTCCAAAAATAAAAAATAAAAAAAATAAATAAAAGGGTGAGTAGCAAAGGACAATAATTTCCATGATCTTGCTAATAAAATATAGAAAATTTTAAATAATAATGAGTGCAGAGAAATTGATTAAACTTACAATGAAATCCAAATGATCCAACCTGGATACAAGAGGCATGGATGAATTGTGAGACTGGATTCTGCCATCCATTAATAATAAAAAATAAAAAAGAAGAAATAAATGGCAAGTAAAAGAGCTTTGGAGTTGTTAAGGAAGGGTGGCTTTGATGAAGGATGATGATAAAGGAGATGAGCAATGTGTTTCTGCTCTCCTCTGTAGAAGTCTTCTACGCAAAGCCGTTATGCATTCCCTCCTTTTTTGGTTGACCCATTGAGGACACGTCATAAATCATCTGCAGTTTGTTGCATCACGTGGTGAAGAATTGGATATGCTCATTGAGGGCCAAATTGACATGGTGTCCAGCTTCCTAATAAAGCGCAGCGGGCTTGGAAAACTAGAAACTCTCTTGGTGGCTGCCCTAGGAGAAAAACTCGGTCACAATGGGAATAACACTATTTTATTATTTTTTGGCTAATAACGCTATGATATGTTGATCCCAACATCACTCTGAGGTTACTAATCCTCTGAGGGCAATCAATTATATCCATGTTGATCCCAACATCACCCTGAGGTTACTAATCCTCTGAGGTTTTCAATTGAGTCCATGCCGATCTCTACATCACCCCAATGTTACCAATCCTCTAAGGGCAATCAATTGGGTCCTTGTCAATCCCTACATCACCAAGGGATTATTAATCCACTGGGGCCCATCAATCGGATTCTTAGTCAATCCCAATCAATTGGATCCTTTGCTGATCCCAACTAAAGTTCACCAAATTTGACAATACATTATCACAACTCAAGAACTTGTGGATTAAGGATTTCTCACGGCGATGCTTTTACTCATGAATCTTTGCTTAGTCATGGTGAAAATGTAACAAACTTGGTTTACTTCTAAATTCCAAAACTTATATTTCCTCGTGTTCGTTAGTTAACAAATTACTTAACACCTCCTAAAATCTCACATGGAACAAATTCTCACAATGAATTTTTTTTTCTCTCTACACCCAAGAACGAAGTATATATGAAGCAATAACCTATTACCCATACATCCTAAACTTGGAGGAGTGGAGAAAATCAAGTAACATGACATCCATTATCCTGAGTCATGGAGAAAAATGAGGAATGTGGGAGTTGGAACCCAAGACTTTACTGCCTTTAAAAGGCCAATTAACACAACATCCCAAAGAAAGAGGAGAAAATCAGGCACAATACTATTCTAAACTCTCATGCGATTATACTTATATTGACTTGAGCATCCGGCTTCACTGGTGGCAATAGAAGATGGTGTTTGGCTTCTCAAAATGGAAATTATATTACTTGTTGGAGGATTCGAAATTTTTGGCTCCAATAGTGACCACCTCGTTTGGTCGCTAAAAAGGGAAATTTCATCACCACAACCATTCCCCAACCAAATGTTTTCGTTGCTAAGATGGTTGCCTTAGACTCTTTGTTGAAAGTAACAGGAGACCAACAACTATTTTCATCGCCATTTGGTGACCAAGTAGTTCGTCACTTATCAAATTTTAGTTGGTCGCCTATAAAGAAAGGTTCCTTCGAAAACACCAAAATTTGGTGCGTATTGAGGATGAAGTTTCTATTTATAGTCTCAACAATCAAACACCAAAAAAAGAAGAAGCCATATGTAAAACAACGTAGTTTTTATCAATTAAATTCATAAAACCCCTCATCAACGACTAACATATGTTGGTCGCCAAAACCCATTAAATATTTAGGCACAAATTTCCCTTTGGAGTGGCAAAATATTTCCATTCCGTCTCATTTTTCATTTTTGCACCCCCAACATTGACAAAATGGCTACCAAGCTCGCGTTTGGTCGCGAAGTTCTCTCCGAGCCACCAAAACAACTTGTCGCCCTTTAATAATTTTTGGTCACTACTCAATTGAGTGAAGTCTTACCACAAGCCTACCAATGGACGAAACATTTGGCTACCAACTATCTTAGTTTTGTCACGCATACATATTTTTGGAGACCAAATTATAGTTGGTCATAGAACATTTGGTAGCATAAATGGTTTTTTCTTGTAGTAAGAAAAGAGAGGAGAAGAGGAAGAAAGAAAAAAAACTAAAAAAGTGGCCTGGGAAGGAAGAAGAAAGAGAAAGGAAAGAAGAGGAAGAAAGAAAGAAAAGGGAAAAAAAGGAGAAAAAGGAAAAAAGAAAGTAGATAAGATCAAATTAGTTGAATTTGTGAGCTCTATTATTTCTAATTATAGGTAGGAAGTACGTATTGGTTGACTATGTAATAACTATTGAATCTTCAAGTTTTATGAAAAAAAATAAATTTTGAGTGCATATATTCGTTAAAGCCATTGTAGTTTGATACTCCAAAAGATGGCAGTCGATTTAACGACAGTTTTCAAAGCATCACAACAACGGTGGATTACTGTTGTCTATTTTGTTTTTTTTGTAGTAGTGTTTACTGATATTAACGATGCTTTTATTATAAACCGACGTCTTTGGATATAATAAACAATTGTTCTATTAGACAAATTGTCATCTTTACATCTAATAGACAACGGTTCTTTCAGAAAAACCGTCGTCTTTACAATTAATAGACGACAATTTGGAGTAAAAGCGTCGTCTTTACAAATAATAGATGACAGTGAATCATCATTGTAGCTTTACATTCAAAAGATAGCGGTCGATTTAATGACGGTTTTCAAAAGAAAAAGACGACGGTTTTTCCCAGTCGTCTATTTCTATTTTTGTAGTAGTGTAATGTCACTTGAACTTATACATCAGTTTCAATTTGTCACCTTAAAAAAAATTTAAGACAAATGTCACTTTAATTTTTGAAAATCCATGATTTTTCATATGACTTTAACACCATCCAATTTTCCATCCATTTAAGGGTATTTTAGTCTTTCAATTTTCAAGGGTATTTTAAAAAATGGAAAAAATCATTATATAAAAAATGGTATATCTTTTAAACAATTAAAATTGAAAAAAAATCATTTCTCACATTCCCCAATCCCTTGTGCACCACCAGCGGCTCCAACCAACTCCACTCACCTTGAAATCCAGTCCCCTTCCCTCTTCTCCTTCCTACTTCTTTCTCTATCGTGGAACATTTACCCTCCACCCAAACCGAGTCCACCTTCTTCTTCTTCTTCTTTTTTCTTTTTGAAAACTTTAGACATGCTCAAAGAACACCATAAATTTTTTTATACATGCTTAAAGATAGAGATATTAGAGGGGGATGGGGGCTCCAATGCAATGTGTTTTGGAGGTGGATGCGGTTAGGGTGGTGGAGAAAGGAAGAGAGAGGTATCTTTTTTTTCTTAGAAAATGGAAAGACTAAAATGCCTTTAGAAGTGGATGAAAAATTGGATGGTGCTAAAGTCAGAAGACAAATCATGGATTTTGAAAAATTAAAATTACATTTCTCTTAAACTTTTCTTTTAAGTGACAAATTGAAACTGAAGTATAAGTACATATGATATTTCTACAAAAAAAATCCCCTCCATTTTGACTGCGGATATCTGTGGGCTAGGTCGGCCCAAAGGTAATTGCCTTAATCTTGCTTTGTACTTTTGGGCTTCCGTCCCCAACTCAAAAAAAAGAAAAAAGAAAGAAAAGAAAGGTGTTTCATTAGTACTCTAATTCCCTGCCACGTAGCAACCGTAAAATAGATCCGCAACAGCGGCCATGGGCATAAATTAGCGAAACTCCTTTATTATAAAAGCCCTAATAATATACTAAAACCCTAAAAAATCTAAACCCTACTTTAAAATCAAACGCTTTTTCTCCGCTAGATTTTTAATTCCACCTCTCTCTCTCTCTTCTCTCTCTCTCTCTCTCTGAAACAAAGTAGGTCTCAACTCTCTCAGTACATTTTCCCGGAATCCAAACACCCCATTACGCGAAATCAGTTCTCTCCTTCTTGATCCCCCGCAAATGGATTCGCGGGAAGTTCCGCAGCAGCAGCAGCAGCCGCCGCCGCCTCCTCAGCAGCAGAACATGATGGTGGGTCCGCCTTCCTACCAAACGTCCATGCCCAACAGCAACCTAAACCCCAATTCGGGTCCCATGATGGGCGGCCCTAACCAGGCTCGGTTCCCGTTCAATGCCGTGCCTCAGCAGCAGCAGCAGCAGCAGCAGCCCACATCGAAGCCGCAGATGGATTCTCTGAGCCCCAGTCCGTACGACGGGTCGCTGAGGCCCTGCGGCAGCGGCGGAGGGTTCAGCATCGACTCTTCTTCGGCTTCGGCGGCGAAGAAGAAGCGCGGGCGGCCCAGAAAGTACTCACCCGACGGCAACATTGCGTTGGGATTGGCTCCCACGCAGATGCCCTCGACGGCTTCAACAGCCGCGGCCGGGCCCCACGGGGAGTCGAGTGGCACAATGTCTTCGGACCCCCCGGCCAAGAAGAACCGAGGGAGGCCCCCCGGTTCGGGCAAGAAGCAGTTGGACGCTTTGGGTAATTGATATTCTCAGTGCCATAACAAAATTTGGTGTGAATTTGTAGTTTATTGATGTACATTCTGGTGATTGGTGTTTGCTTGTGTGCTGTGCAGGAGCTGGTGGGGTTGGGTTTACTCCTCATGTTATTATGGTGCAAGCCGGCGAGGTATGTGACTTTCTTGATGTTAAGAGTAAATTGTAGTTAATGAAGTGAGTCTAATTGCAGTTCTTGCAAGGAACTTCTCATTGTTATTAGGAGATTCCTGAATAAAGAATGTTATTTAGTGCAATAAAGGATGGCCTTTAATTTTATTTAAAGTTGTGTGAACCAGAACTGCAATTCTGATGTTATGACTTTGAGGGTGTGAAAATAATGCGTCTGTAGTTTAACAATGGTGTAAATACTTGTATTGTGTTCTGATCCCTTATTTTGGTACGACGTTCAGCAATCATGTCAATTCTTTAGTTTTTGCCATCATCATAAAATAAAAATTTATTCATAAAAAGCATATATCAGCCAAAATAAAGGGTGCCTTAATATTTAAAATGCACTTTTGCTGTTTTTTTCCATCTTTGTGTGATGTCTGATATACCAGATCTTTCAACTTTTTGTTATAAGGAATGAAACTTATGTGATGGGTTTGTTGTAAATGGTTGTGTCACATTATACTGTTTGTTGTTTACCAAATGAAGATACCACTTATCTACTTAGTAGATTTTTTGTTACCTTTGAGTATTATAAGGAATATTTTATTTTCTTGAATTTCTTCTGGTTGTTATCACTGGGGGTCTTAAGTATTGATATTTTTGGTATTTCGCAGGAAATACATTATGTTTGCTTTCATTGGATAATTATTCCTCAAAATACACCTCTCCATTGATCTGCGTCATTGGAATATGTGAGGATTACTTGTAGATGTGAGATATTGATCAATTGCGAATTTAGAATAATATATAGCAGAATACTAAGAGAAGAAATTTTTTGCATCCTTTTGTCAATAACTTTTTATTTATTTGTTTCTGTGTGACGGGTGGGGCTTTATCCACTAGAACAGTGGCGTAGTTGACCATGGTGATTAATTGAAATTGAAAAATAGTATTTCTTTATTATGCATTGTTTTATGTTATATAAGTGTCCAGGACTATGTTCTCATTTTCAGTTCTTGTGCATCTTTTATCCCAATTTCAATTTAATGCATAGATAATAATAATATTCGATATTTTCATCCAATTATGGTCTGCCTTCTTATTTGTGTGCCCTTGTGGTTTGCAGGATATTGCAGCAAAGGTTATGTCCTTCTCACAACAAGGACCGCGTACGGTTTGTATTCTCTCTGCAAATGGGGCCATCTGCAATGTTACCCTTCGCCAGCCAGCAATGTCTGGTGGTACTGTCACATATGAGGTACTTTGATATTTTTATAACAAATATGTTGGTATGGATGTTGGAACATGGATGTGGTTCTATATGTACTTACTGCAATATTACAGAACCAGAAATGAGTTTGATGAGGACTCAGGATAACAGATGCAAAAACCTACAAACTTGTGCATAATTATGATATTACCTTCCTCTTCTCGATTTTACAAATACAAATTTTTTTGTACCATGTAGAAAAGCTGTTGTTTGTCCATATAAAAATGGGTCATGCTGTAAGAAAATGTCATTCATTTTGAATTTATTACTGTGGAGTAATGAAAACCCAAATTTACAACCTTTTCCCCTCTACATTGAGTACTTTGTAGTCAAATTTACGACCTTCCCTCTAGATTGAGTACTTTGCATTCATAGTTATAAGAAATTTTCTGTGGGGTCCCTTAATGTATAATGAGTTAAATATTCTCTTTTTCTAGTAAGTAAATTTTATTCAAGGTGATATCAAGGCACATGGAAACAATGTTCCAGATGTATGCACTACCTTAAGTACTGGTTTTGAAAGGTTAGATATAAATTGTCCGTTAATAGGGATCCCACAGTTACCACTGCCAGCTTTCTTTCTTAAGCTTTTATTGTGACATTTTCTGGTAATTATGGTGGATATGCATGTTTCACAAGACAGACAAAAAATGGACCAATTTACTCAAACCCAAATCTGGCAAATTGTCCCTGAAACTGACTGACATGGTTGGTTCATATTGAGCTCTAGCTCGGTGATTCCAGCTACATGTGTGGCATTATTTTGCGAGAAGCACAAGTCTGTTTGTATCTTACAATTTCTTTTTGTTAATAAAGTCTTGTTTCCTATCAAAATAATATTAAGTGCTACGTGGGTTTTAAGCAGTCAGTTCTAAATGTCTGGCCCAGAAGCAATAAAATTCCTTAATTATAAAAGTATATTGGGAGCAGAAATTTATATCAGAAGCATGGTGCACAAAGTTTTCTCACCTTGACAATTCTTCATATTTCTCTGTTGGTTTCCTCTTAAGTATGCTATGTTTTCATCATTTGAAGGTTGTCGTGCTATCCCACACCTACATTAGATTGCACTGGATATCCTCATTTTACAGAAATTGAGGATTACAGATATAACATTTTCAATTTCAGTCAACATCTATATAATCTGATTTGTGTTTTGTGAAAATATTATTTTGTTTTGTTTCTGCAAATGATTTTCTTGGAGAACATTAGTATGGCTGTTGTTTATTGTCTCAATACTATGATGATCTCTCTCTCTCGCGCGCGCGCGCGTGTATATTTGGGGGTGGGTTGAGGCTGGGGTGCTTTTTGTTTAGTTCAGTCTTACCATTTAGATTATATTACTCCACAATGGAATTTCCATGCCGTTTAGCATAATTTATTATGCTATTTGGATTCTCAAATAACATTTTATTCAGCAGTATGTAGCATTAAAGACCTGACAGTCTCTGCTACAGCACTTAAGTTTGATCTGTTTTTTACATAGTAGATGTGATTCCTTATATGGACCAATATTATTCCAGGAATCTCAATTTTGTTGGTTTTTTTAATGGTATGATAATTGAACTCGAAGAGCATCCATAATTAAATAAGTTTCAATTTTGCATGCAGTCAGTAAATTACATGAACGCAATTGAATTAGGAAACTTGAGGCCATGAAATCATGAGATAAGGAAACATTGTAGAGTTTTCTGTTGATGACTAACAAGGCTGATGAAACAAATGCATATGGAATAACCATCCAAAGAATTGAAAAAGTAGAAACAAATGAATAGATGTGGTATACGGGCAATCTCACAATTTGAAGGTTAAGCATATGCAACCGAATCTCAGCACCTTCAAACCTTCTTCTATACATCCAAAATTCGTTCTTTTAATAGAGTGAGTACTTCTATTTTGTAAAATTGGAGCTACTGTAAATTTAAATAGTCTTTGTTATTGAGCGATGACATTCTTATTGAAGTTTGCTTAAGCAGATCTCTCTCTCTCTCTCTCTCTCTCTCTCTCTCTCTCTCTTACACACACTCACATGCGCATCAGTCCCCCTCTCCTTTCTCACATGCACAATCACTCACTCACTTTCATGCCCGCTCCACTTACACATTAACCGAGGCATTGGTAATGTGTTCTACTCTTTCAAGTGTTGATCTTTGTCCAACGAATGCACAAATTTGTTTGAGCACTCAATGTTACATAGTCATGTGATTCATTTCTGGTGTTATTTGACAAACTTATATAAACCTGGATGATCTTTTTCATGTTTAGTTCTTTATTTCTATTGTCGATATCTTTTGTGCTTATATTATCTATGTATTTTTCTTTGCAGGGTCGATTTGAGATTATTTCGCTCTCAGGTTCGTACTTGTTTTCTGAAAATAATGGGAACCGCAGCAGAAGTGGTGGTTTGAGTGTATCCTTGGCAGGGTCTGATGGCCAAGTTTTGGGTGGTGGAGTTGCAGGCATGCTGGTGGCAGCATCACCGGTACAGGTATCACTCTGCTACTTTTTGCTGCTCAGATCAGTTATGAAATTATGACTATGTTCATCTTCTGCAGTTGTAAAAGGATATCCTGGGAAATAAACATATCCTGCTGACTGTTTGACAGCCGAAAATTCATTAAATGCATATATAGCCTTTGCATTTAACTCAATTTTAATGCACTGCCAGGTCATTGTGGGTAGTTTTATTGCTGATGGGAAAAAATCCAACTCCAACTTCCTAAAATCCGGGCCTTCTTCTCCACCACCATCTCAAATGTTGAATTTTGGTGCACCGATGACGGCGGCCAGCCCCTCCTCTCAAGGAGCCTCAAGTGAGTCATCTGATGAGAATGGTAGTAGCCCTCTCAACAGGGGACCTGTGCTCTACAATAATGCTAGTCAACCCATTCATAATATGCAGATGTACCAACTATGGGGTCAAGCTCAACAGTGAAGTGGAAAATGCTTCCAGGTTACCAGTACAGCGCATTCCGGTATTGACTGCATTATTCTGCCTAGTGGATAGGGAGAAGGGGGGTGTGGGGGGACAACTCACAGGGGATTATTTTAGTTCTAGGTTGAGTTTTTTGTTTTATTTTTTGCTTTCAAGGTAGTTCACACTTTCCCTTTCTCTCTCTAAATATGATTAAAACATGGGCTATTGTTGATAGCTGAGAATATGCCGCCTGTCCGTTAGGTTCTCATGAGTTAAATTGCATTTAAAATATTTTCTCGTTCTTTCTATTTTTCATTTTTCTTTGTTTCCCTGCTAGGAGTATCTGACTTAATATGTAACTTGTTTTACGAATATAAAATTTCATCGCAGTCTTGAATAGGCTTGAGTGGAATCTTATTATAGGTTCGCTCTCTCACAGTTTCAGTTGGCACATTGTATTCTCGTGTTTCATATCCTGGAATCTCTGCCCCCAGTATTTTCATCTAGTTCAGGACCGGATGTAAATTGTTACCTGAAATGTTTTTAATTTACATCAAGATTTGATCTGTTTGAGCATGTGTGGTGGTGAGGCAAGTGGCTGGAGGCTTGATGCCGTTTTCGCCTCCCAGAATTTTTGTCATTCAGGGAGCGAGGGTTTAGAGGGTTAGAATTCAAACTTTATTATTAATTTTGTAGTTATTTTTGTAGTGACGAAGAGATTTTAGGTGTGAGAAGTGATCACCAAATTGTTAGTGCTTATTGAATTATGAAAAAAAAAACTTTGGCCGTAAGGAATTGTAAGTATCCTAATGCAACTTTGAGTGGAGCCAAAAATTGGTATTTGCACATAAAGTGTAGCATGAAGTAATTTAGCATAGGTAATGGTATTTGCACATCATTTATTAGAACAATTCCTATCAGGAAGACCAATACAACACAAGGCAAAAATCTCAGGAAGAAGATTGGAAAGTACAATATAATAGCCATTGCTAGTTTGAAAAATCATGGACTGTTTTCATGGGCAAAGTTTTACCAATGCCACTTGAAAAGTAAATTGAAGCAATGTGCTACCTTTAGTTAAACAAGAATAATACTAGTTTTACCACATTTGTATACCACAATTTCATACCACATGATGTGGCAGTTGATGTGTACATACTATATCGTGTAAAATACTAGTTTCTGTTTTTCTAATTTTATTTATTAAAATACACTTCATTCATTTAATTGATGTGACATATAATATGGACATGTCATATCATGTGGTATAAAAATGTGGGATAAAAATATGGTAAATGTAGCATTACTCGATAAACAATTCATTGGAATGTGCTAGCCTAATTCTATCTATCCAAAAGGTTGCAAATGATTCACACATGAACCTTCTGAATGGTATTGCGACGTTTGAAATATCAGCATACTACTAGATATTTCTTTTTTCGGTAAAGGATTATGTGTGAAGCACATGCAACTTTTTAGATACATAAACTGATGAAGTTAGTTATAGATAGCACATTGCTTTATTATTATTATTTTTAAAATTTCTGGTGACATTTAAGATGATTTATGTTTTGTAACGCGTTAAATTTAGTCAATTTTATAATGTATGATATTGACATTATGATTGTTTATTGTGAGCATTTAGATACTTCGGTTTTCACATAGGGGCCTACATACTTCAATCCCGTCCCTATCAAAGGAGCGGTGCTACCAAACAACAGAGAAGTTGCCGTGAAACTTTGTTTTGTTTTGTTTTTTTATTTACAAGGGAAATTAACCTTAAGATTTAATCATCATCTCACTTTATTTCTATGGAGTGCAATGCTACATGTATAACATTTATGCACCATAAGAACCACATGACTAATAAATATGACCATAACTTCTAGTTTTGTTAAAGATATGTTTGGAAGTGATTGTAGATTGACTAACAATGTATTCAAATAAATTAAAGCGATCGAGACATAAAAAGTTAGAAGGACTCCAAATATCCTAATTATATAATAAAAAGGTAATGTGGAACACCAAACTTTAGTTAAAGGGCAATTAATGACGTAACCACCTAAAGACCAGAATGAGACGGGGCCCCTTCTCATAGTTTTTATTCTTTCAAATTTTTACTTCGATATGTATATATGTTGCTTATGGAATGAGTCGGCCAGTGAGATTATTGGTCGACCCTAGATGTTCTAAAGTTTATTCTATATATTTTGTTTAGTTATTTACCTTTTCCTATGTGTTGATACCTGTTTAATGGAAAACTAAACACACTTTTATCCAAATTAACAGAACAAAATCATCAATTTATCTCCTATTATTCCGATTTCATATTAAGTATATTTGTTTCATGGTCTAATGTATCCCTCCCGACATGAATTCTAGCATACTCTGTCTAGGTGAGCAATGGAGCTCAAAGTTCAAGTTCATTCAACCACCTCATGCATTTCTTCAATGGACCCACCAGCCACGGTCTCTAAGGTTCCTTTGATGACATCCAGGAACGCGCCAACAGCCAGCAGGCGGAGTGGGCCCACTGCCGCCTCGTCGGCAGTCACACTCCATTTCCTAATTTCCTAATTTCCTAATTTCCTACTACCCAGCGAAGCTTCCAACGGCTCTTTTGCCAGCAAAGCGACACACTAAAACCATATAATACAAATATAAATACAAAATAACTCTTTCTTAATCCCAAAAATAAATACAAAAATAAATATAAAATAAATAAAAGCTATCTCTCTCTCTCTCTAGCCGTTGGCTGGCCTATTCAGTCATACCCTGTCTGTCGACCACTTTCCCCATAAATGCCTTTGCCTTAACTCCCAAATTAATAAGCACGTCCTAGTTCTCATTGTCCTCAAAACCAAAACAAACGCATACCCAAAATCCACAAGCAAATTGTAAATTTGAAAATTTGCAAATAAAACACATACATACTCAGATACTCTCATACCCCAAATATTGTAAGGCTCATTTTTGTGTGAATTCTTTTTCCAATGGCCTGCTTGGTCTTGCCAATTGCAATGCTGAAAAAGAGGTGCATGGGGTCACGGATAGGCGGCTACCGGCATTTAACCGAAGAGGGGTTCGGAGGGTTGGAGAATCCGGTGACCGTGGTGGTCGGGAAGGAGAAGAGGGAGTTCTTGGTAGACCCTTTTGTGCTAGAAGAGAACCCGTTTCGGGTTTTGATCGAGATGATGAACAAGGACAAGAAGATGGTGGATTTTATTGATCATGAGAATGGCAAGGGGAGGATGGTTTTTGTGGATGTTGATGCTATTCTTTTCGAGCATATGCTGTGGTTGATGTATAATGATTGTTCTTCTTTGTTCAAGCTCAATCTTAAGGAGATCATCGACTTCTATGCTCAAGATAATTAGGCAGATTCTAGAGGAAAATACAGAGAGGCACTTCATATGAAACAGAGGTACCATGCTGCTCACTGATACGAGTCTATAGAATTCTTCTTGTAAAGAAATATTTATAATAATCTAATAACTCACACATGAATATACATATTGCAATGAATAATTCAATTAATTCATCTCTGCAATGTTCAACTTTTAATTTTAATTATTCATCATCACCATCAGACCCCAATTCTCAGTTTCTGTATGTTGTGGTTAAGGTTGCATGAGTAATTGAAATAACTAACTGGGCTTTTCTCAGGTTGATCAATTTGGTAATATTTCTTTCAAATTTTTGTTTTTAAATTAAAGAGAAAGAGGGAGTCAGAGGAGATAACAGAGATCAGAAAAGAAAACTCAAGTACTTGCGTTCTGCTCAAATGAGAATCAAAACCTGTTCGAATTAAATCATTCTTTACATTCAGCAAAGAAAGACAAAAGTCTTCAATTATAATTTATGTTGACAAAAGTCAAAAAAGATGTTGCTTAGGATTATGGTAAACGAGGAGAAACTCAGCAAACAGATCATAAGTTACATTTCAAACTGAAAAGAACCAATGCTTCAAATTCATAACTTCCACATTACTTTTTAGCTTTCAAAAGTCTGGATAGTAATGGGAAACCTTAATTTCTTTCTTTTTCTAAGTTTAGATTTGACCGAAGATTATTGTAACACGTTATCATCACGATAGTCTTAGTTTGCCAAAAGGTGTATAAGAATGATTGGCACAATCTTGCACCATGAGCTTTCTTATAATCATAAATTCCGAGTATAAAATCAGATGGATGCATATCCATGTTAGTTTGCGAGAAAAGTCAGAATATATTAATGAACAAAACACAAAACTAATGCTGAATTATTATTACTGTTACTATTCTGCTGGTGTTCATGAACACAACTTATTAAAACCTTCCATCTTCAACAATTCTCTGGAGAAAACGACAACCTCAGCGCAGCGATATCGAACAAGAACCTATAGTTGACCTGCTGAGCCGCGCCCAGAATGTTTAGACCATCACTTTGGTCCATTGACAAAATGGTCATGCAAAACTCATTGTGATGTTCAAAGGCCTGGAATAGTGTGGGTTTATGCAGCACAAAGTCAGCTCCTTCGAAATGAAGTGTCACCGATGGTGAAGTAAAGACAGTAGGGATATTCTGGTAGCAAAGATCAAAATCAGTCTTGCTTTTCTGCGTCATGGGTTGCCATCCATACATGTTATGGAAGTAATCCACCACAGCTTGTTTCAAGACCTTGAATGCCTCTGCCACGATATGGCTATATGGTGATCCTGAATCAACTGCCATTCCTTTTCCACCTGCCATGAACAAACTTGGATCGATTTGGAGACGTTGTCCATTAAAACTTATAGCATCCAGTTTCGTGAAATAATAGTCATCTGGACCGCCCAAAATCGGTGTGCTACCAAGACTGGGACCTCCAATTTGTGCATCCTCACCAAAATGTAGCAATGATTGGGCCTCAAATTGTGGTGGAAGGCAATACGAAAATCTTCGAAGGGTGATTTGGTTTAGTTGTTGTAGAATACCAATGGGGTGACCCCTTCCTAACCCCAAAATCCCTCCAATTGGATTATCATGACCATGAAAATAGTCATTGAAGTTCACCTTATTGAAGAGTCCCCACCCAAATGCCACATTAGGGATAGCTAGTTGCCCTTGATCAGATAAAAATGTGAACGCATCAAATCCGAAGGGGCCGTAAGTGGAACTGCGATCATAGTAGAACAACCCATAAACACAATTCTGGCCCTTAGTTCCAGGACCAAGGTTTGGAGGAACACACAGTGGGTGATCATCAGGCATGGGCCGGGAAGTGGTTGATCTCCTGATGCTGAAGTTAGGCATTGACAATTCGAAGCACGACTTGCATCCTTCGCATTGAACCCACGTTAGAGTGCTACCGGTGTCCAAGGCCAAGTTGGTTTTCTGAGGAGGTGTGCCAACGTACATCTCTATGTAATAGAAATCACTGTATGCATGTTTAACAGGTGAACTTATGGCGTTTGGGACTAAGGTTTCTGATGAGCTGGTGGTCATGATAAGGTCGAGGGCTCGAGCTTTGGATATTTCGGTCAGTTTTTGGTGTTTTTCAAAAAGGGTGAGGTTTTGGGGGAAGATGGAAGAGTTTGGTGAAAGAATGGTGAACATCTTAATGCTCAATCCTTGGGCTACGCCTCCCATGGTTGCTGGAAACATGAGAAAGACCATTAGAACGAAAAAGAAAACTGGAATTATTTTAGACATGTTTCTCAGGCTCATGTTTGAATTTTGATTATCTGATTTGATCCAGCTTCACAAGAAATAGGATATTTATAAGGTGTGATAATTAAGTTTTGCATACCATAAGGTGAATGCAATTGAGGAAATATTAATCTTGCCATCTTGGAATATGTCAACAAAGTTTGAAGAGGTGGATCCACCAAAAATTAGTGCGTTTTATCCATGAGTTTTCTGTCATTGAAATTTTCATAAAGAGAGTCGTTCTTCTTTGAGATCACTTGCAGCATCTCCTATACTATAAACGGAGATGGATCCCTTAAGAGATTGGAAGATAGTGCTTGTCAATTTTCAATCACACAGATGAAGGTGGTTGAACTAGGAAGTTTCTGATGTGACTATTTATATATATACTCTCTACAGCTAGGCTAGGTATGATACACAACCGAACGACTCATCTCTATTTTCTTTGGATGATTTTCTAATTAATTACGTGAAACTTCAAAGTGTCTTTTAATTTATAGATGGGCTGCCAGACAAACATGTACACACAACCAAAACCAAGTATTTTGAACTTACTTGGGGATGTATACTATAAATTATAAGTCATATACTTAAATGGTCTTACATAAAAGGAAAAGTTTCAGAAAAGGGGCTTTAAGCTATTGCCTGACCAGGATTATATTTAGACCACGCCACGAGAGCTGCCGAGAGCTGCTGACAGATGCAGACAGTTTCAATGTGGCATTTTGTCGAGCACCTGGTGTGCACTCATGGGTCGCCCACCAGCCTTCCACAGGATCGCCGGAGGAGCTGCCCAGCCATTTTTCTTGCCTCCACGGAGTTTCCCGACCCCATTTGTCCCTTAATGAATCCATCAATGCAGTATGAAACTTACATTGTTGACTCATTCATTAGCCTTATGACAAATTTCATGATAGAAGTTTAACATAGTATTATTGGAAATAAGGAACCAGGTATCTCTAGTACCGATGATCAAACTTCACCAATTTGAAGGCTGAATTCTTTTTGATTCTTATGTTCTAAAATAGTAAAAAAAAATTTGAAAACAAATCGGTGCAGGGTTCTATGCCCTCCTCTTCAATAAAAATTCGAAGAAAAAGAAAAAGGTATGTTTCATTTGGCAGTCACATAATGGTCACATCCTTTCAATTACAAATAGGTCAATTATTTTGTAATCCTTTATTGTTTTTTTGGAATAAATTTCAAGCTAAACTCAAATCCATGCATATAACATGTACATCTAAAAGAAAAAATTAAGAACATATGGCAAAGAAAAAGAGTTATTATTTATTTTGATGGAGTTTGATGGGCACAATATATGAACCATTTCATGATCCTAGAGAGTAGTGGTAAGCTAGTACTTATTCCAATCTTCCACAATTTTCCTGACCAAAAGACAATCTCCTCGCACCAACATCAAACAAGCACCTGGAATTAACCTAGCCGCACCTACAAGGTTTGGACCATTATTGTCCCCCTTGACAATATCGCCGTGCAAAACTCATTTTAACTTTCAAGGTGTTGGAAGAGTGTGGGTCTATGCACTTCGAGGTCTCCTCCTTCGAAGTGAAGCGTCACAGATGGGGCCGTAAACACTGTAGGGGTGTTCTGGTAGCAGAGGTCGAACTCATCACTCGTACCTTTCGGAATTGGTTGCCATTCGTACATGTTGTGAAAGTAGTCCACCACTTTGTTGGCTCAAGATATATATATATATATATATATATATATTTTGGTCAAAAGTTGGCTCAAGATATTGAATGCATCATACACAATAAGAGTGTACGGAGATCCTGAAAAAAAACTATGATCCCATTTCCACCTCTCGAGAACAAGTTCGGGTTGGTTTGGAGACGTTTTCCATTGAAATTTATAGCGTTTTATCTCACATAATAATGGTCATTTGGAGCGCCCAAAATTGGTGTGGCAAACACATTGGTACCGCCTCGAATTTCAGCATCGTTACCCAAATGTAACAAGGATGGCTGGGACTCAAATTGTGGTGGAAGGCAGTAGGAGAATCTTTGAAGGGTGATTTGGTTTAGTTGTTGCAGAATATTGGTGGGTTGACTCCCCCCTAGCCCCATAGACTCTGATATTGGATTAGGCTGGCCATGGTAACGGTCATTGAAGTTTACATTGTTGTCAAGTCCTAACCCATATGGCACATTTGGGATCGCTTGTTGCCCTTGATTAGATAATAAAGTAAATTTCTCAAGTCCAAATAGACCCTCAGACTCTGGTAGGGCCATCAGCATACTCCTAGAAATAGGAACAAGCCCCGTGGCTGGAAGAACACAGAGTGGGTTATTAGCAAGCATGGCTCGGCATGTGGTCGATTGCTTGCCGTCGAAGTTAGGTATTGACACCAGAAAACATGTTTGGCATTCTTTCCCCTGAACCCATGTCATAGAGCTACCGGTGTCAATGTGAAAGTTGGCTTTCTGAGGTGTGCCAATGTAGATCTCTGTGTAAAGGAAATCATTGAATGAATGTCTAACAGGAGATCTTATAGTGTTTGGAACTAGTGGTTCTGATGAATTAGTGGACATGATGGCTTGAAGGTGAAGGGCTCGAGCTTTGGATATTTGGGTAAGTGTTTGGTATCTTTGTGACATTTTCATTTCATCTTATTCGTAGAAGGGTGAATTTCATTGAGACACATCTTTCTCTTATGGAGAGAAATCAATGAAAATATTAAAATTGGAGAGTTAGGGATAAAAATTTTACCAATGAGACTTTTGTAACAAATAATAGAAAAATGAGCATGTATTTTTTTAGGACCGTTGCTAGGCTAAGTTTCACATATATATATATATATATATTATTTTGACATAGTTTATTATAATCGAGGATACTATGATATTTATTTCTTTCTATGAGACTTCAAACTTATATACTTCTTTACGTGAGAAACTGCCAAGAAGCCATAAGATGATAGCCTCAGCCAATGACCTATATAGGTTTAATATTTTCTTTTTCAAAAAGCTACATGGGCTACAGCCTAGTGTAGCCCACTAGGTAGTTCCGTCCGAGTATGGAGAACATCTTAATGCTGAAACCTTGTCCACGTATGTGATTTTAAGTATGGACTCAGAAGAGGGTATTTATGTACTGCAAGGTGTGATAATTTTTGCAATAGTTTTTTTTTTCATTATCTCTTTATAAATTTAAGTAGTGGTGTTAGTTGTAACCATTTGTGCAATTGGCTCATCATTTGTACTAGTTACTAGACATGTATGTATGATAAAATATTAGTCATGCCATATTATGCTGGACAAAAGCTGCATGATGATGACTTTTTATTATGTGAACACATGTTAAGGCTTTGAGATGGTGAGATTGAGATTACACAACATCCAGCTGGTTTGTATAAAAATAAATGTTTGTCAATGTCATTTGAAATTTGGTAGCTAGCTAGGGGGGATATCTAAAACTCGGCATGCATTTGATCCACTTGACAATTAGAATATTTGGGCTTCAAGGTTTTCCATATTTGGTATATCTAGCTGCCACTACTAGACAAATGAGCATAAATTTCCTTAGTCATGTGATCTGTATCTAATCCATGATCAACACTTTTGGTCACGGATAGTCTGTGATTAACATGAATATATAGGTGATGGATGTGGCTTATAACGAGGTTTTCTAGTAGTAGTGTGCATGCGAAATAGTGGAGGTAGCTATGCCTCCAATATATAGATGCGCATTCATATGAAACAACCCCTCTTGATTTCGCATAGCAGACGCAGCCGCTTTCAATTACCAAATGAAGATGGATGTAACTTGCAAGTCTTTTAATTGGCTTTTTATGTACACCACTACAGCTAGCCTGCTGTCCAACTTTGACCTTTGTACGTTTGTGGATGAAACTCCAGTTAGAATTTTATGTTGTATATGCGTAAGTGACTAAGTATGGGTAAATTTTGTTTTTTCCCTTTCTTGTTATGTTGCTCTGTGGATTGCATATTATTTTTGTTTTTATGTCACTCTTTAATTTTAGTTCATATAATATTTTTTTCAAAGTAGTTACAGAAAAATAAATAAAATCACATGAATGTACATACAATGATGAAAACGTGGACGTCCTCATAATATTGGCCCTCCAATTTACGGATATTTCAGGGATCTATCGGTATCATTTTTGTCATTGGTCTATATCAATGTTGTTGGTTATGTTTAGATTAGAATGATCATTAGATTAATTGAATATTTAGATTAAACGGATTGGTCAGGATACGTATATTCAATCATGGTTTAATTTTGTTCGTATTGGACTTAATTAGATATTTTAAAAATGACTGCAGATTTTTTTGGTTTGAAATTGTATCATCTTCCTTCTATTACCTTCAAAAATTATGAAATTGTTGAGGCTGATATCGTGAATTGTCTTTAACTTTCATCAAATATATCGCGGATATGGGGAAAGCTTCGTCCCCACGGCCCTCCTCTCTCTCCCAAGTATTGGTGTCTACTCACTGAAAATCCGACACATTGGCTGATTGGATCGGTGCATTGGCAGATGTTTTCATCAATGTATACTTAAAAGAGTTGAGGGCTACTTTTTTGTGGTTCGCCTAGGGCCTTCAAATCCTTAAGGCCACCCATATTATTTCGAAATCTCGTGACATATCATTGCGAACTTTGAATATGATTAGGTTGGATATCCCCTGTTTCTAGGGGACAATCTGAACTGGTTTTAATTTGTATGGTTTGGCAAGGGCGTTAAACAAGATGGAAGGGAAAAAAAATAAGTGTAAGCAAGCTTGAGGGGTGAATTCTCAACTTGTTCATACAGATCGGGCCAGCGATCCTAATACAGGGCCCAATCGGAATGAATTACTACGGCTTAAAAATTCATGATGGAGGCAGATGTGGCCCGATAGCTTCTTTCTTCCCATGTTCCAATGTTCTTTTTTTTTCTTTCTTTAATCATATATATGCTTTTCCCTCTCCTTGGAAAATTTTTACGAACACCAAAAAATAAGCTCTGTGTGCCACCCACTGCCAGATTGAAGAATCCTTTTCAGAAGTCGTCATTAAACGACTCAAAAGCAATAAGAAAATGGTAACCAACCATTCTTCAACGACAAAGTTGCTTAGTAATCTTTTGCCTTGACACAGCTGCGTTCATCAAAGAAAAGATGATGTTCTTGATGAAGGTCTTTGAAAAACCAGAGAAGTGAAAGAGGACATGCCCCTTTCGAATATCATTCATCGAATTGATTTTGTGGCGATGCCGGGAACGGGCTAATTTGGGTAAGAATTAGCTTAGAGTTATACAGTGACTTAATCCAGATTACTTAATTCTTAACAATCAATTGTGTTCAAAGTTACTTTCTATATTATTGATTGTATCACATGTTTCCGCACTTTTGGATTCACACATCTTGTCACCATCACACTACATTCCAATTATTACAATCACGTCCATGCTTGCTTGACAAGGCATTAGGGAGAGAGAGAGAGAGAGAGAGAGAGAGAACTCTTAGGTTGTGACCAGTTTGTCGGCCTTACCATCTCTCAGAAATCTAAGTCAGAAAACACACTGATTAGCCTTGCAAATGCATTCATTCTCGAGGCTTCGAAGGAGTGTGAAAAATGAAAAGCATGAGTTTATAAAGTAGCTGCAGCCACTTTTAAAGCAAGAAAACCAGCATGACAGTAGACACCATGGTAATTTGGAAAATCATGATTGCTGTCTGTCCCCATTAGTTTTCATTTGCTTAATGCTGTTTTATTAATTTAATACGTTCATGGAAATGCGCACACAAAAATTATGTTTTCCTGTGGGGACTGGGGGCCTAATATTCAACTGCTCTTGATCATTAGTATCTCTAAAGGTGGAGATGACAGGTTAAATTAGCATGGGTAAGCATGGATATTATATTGTTCATCTGGTCATCTCATGGTTTAGATCAAAGTTCTTTTTGTTATTTTATTATCCAAGAACACTTGCTCTATTATATATATTTGCTTTGGTGATCAGCCGAGATGCATATGTTCTAACTACCTTCCATTTTTTTTCAAACTCTTCTCACCCGTTTTTTTCAAGCTCTTTTCTGCACATGATAATTAAGCATTTCACATTCCAACCTAAAAGCAAATAAAATATTTACAACAAATCGAATAGGTTGAACGGATTTTTTATATTTTTTATTTATAAGGAGCGATGCATTCCACGAAAAGAAAGGTTACAAAGATCTTCTGGTTGCAATGCCTAGTTACTAGCTAATACAGCAATTAAATGTTCTAAGATTAAATCATTCATGAAATAAATGAAGGTCAGAGAAGAAACGTGGTATTAATATCAAGGGTTATTTGTAGCAGTGGTCTCTCAACTATACTCGGAGTTACATTTTAGTCACTGAACTCCAAAAATAGTAACAGAGGTCACTCAATTATGTGTTGTGTTGCACCATTAGTCTCTACCGTTAGAGAGACTTGATAGTAGGGACTAATGGTGCAACGTAATACCTAATTGAGTGATATCTCTGTAATTATTTTTGGAGTTAAGTGACAAAATGTAACTCCGAGTACAGTTGAGGGACCATTGCTACAAATAATCATTATTTATTTATTTTTTGTTATTTCGTTTTTATAAATATTTGGAATGAATTTCCAAGTTTACCCATGGATTTAACGGAAAAATAGACAGACTTGAACGAATGGACGAGTAATGCAACACCATACATAATTGGGGGACCTCTGCAGCTAGTTTTGGAGTTGAGTGACCAAAATGTAACTACGGGTATAGTTCAGGGACCATTGCTATAATTAATCCTAATATCAAATGCTAAAACAATAAGCGGCAACTTCAATACATGGGTTATGCAAGGTTGCCCTCGTAATTGCTTGTGGTTATATATCCCCAAAATTGGGGAAGACAATCTTACTAGGTTTTATAGTCATGTTATGATAAGTTTCTAAACCAGTGAAAAACGGCCTTGATGACTTGCAGACCAGAGATCTCAGGTTCGAACCTCCTATGACATCTTGGTTAGTCTCAGGTTCAAATCTATGGCATCTTGATTGTGTGTGTGTGTGTGTGTGTGTGTGTGAGAAACTATCATCCCCTGCAGTTTAGACCGTCGTTTGTACTAAAAAATAAATCATATCTTAATCCAAATAAGATAAATGTAGCTTGAGAATCCACTTAGAGGAGTATTCCAAGCATATTCGTGAGCTAAAGTGCTTTAAGGAGTCAAATGAAATATATATTCTCCTAATTAAAATGACCACTAGTACTACGATACTGATAGATGTGGAGGAGCATCGATAGATTTCATCCAAAATACAAAACAACCACATTAATTCTTCACCAACATCTTGCATAAACATTCCAAATGGAGAATTAAAATTGAATTCCACATACACATGAAAGAAACCAAACACCATCGAAAGATTATTAATGATCGCCAACTTTGTTTCATAACGGATGACTTTGAAGAAACATATGATGCATGGTGGTGTGGGTGAGTGGATGTGGAGGTGGAAGTGGTTTCCTCAAGTTCAACAAGTGTGTGATTATTTAGTATTGTTGACTTATATAATAGAATTGAATGCGTGCATTGTAAAGCTCTAGCTAGGAGTTTAAATAACTCATAAAACAGCTCATAAGACACACAAACCTGAAAATTTAAGAGAATCAATACCGACCACGAAGGGCTAGATTATTTATATTATCTCTTCTCTCCTGCAAATTGTATTTTAGTATGAGAGAAAACTGCAGCCTTTTGCACTTAAAAGACTTGAAGCATTGTATTAAACATGCATGACGACTATGGTTCATTTCCTCTATATAGCTCCTGGTTTTCAAGTTAGCAGCTTGCTCCCAAATGGGCTTCCAGAAACTTCAACAAAGAAGTGCTGGAATCGGAGTAGGTCGCCAAATGATATGAAAGACTCCTTGTTTAGTTGAAAAAGTAAACTGACCATCAGCTAGCTAGAAAATTAACGTGCCTATAAGTAGGTAGATCTTGGAAGCATCGAGTCTATTTCCTTCATGCTCCTAAATTGACTGGGGATCATGATGTACTGACTAACCAATCCAAATTTACATGGAATCTTGTAACTAGCTTTATTAGGTTTTGAATCTGTAGGTGAAAATGATGCCTGTAATTAACCTAGCAAACATTTCTTGAAAGCTAAAAGAGCAAGTGTAAGAAGTGAGCTGAAAATTTCTAATGTAACTTCAGCATAATAAATAAATCCAAACGTTGAGCCAATAAACAAGGAAAAAAGAGCAAGGGTTTTATCGACGGGCATTCTACTTTTCTTTCGTAGCTATTAGTATTTCATGAAAACAACGCAAATTGAAGGAAACAGATGGCAAGCGACAGACCCTACAAGATTTACTTGAGACTATGCCAAGTATGTATATCAATACAGCTCCAAAGACAGATTTTAATCATGTGATTAAAACAAAAGAAGCATAAATTTAGCAAAAGGCAAGGGAAACAATTGGTAGCAGTACCCCCTAAATTTCAGGGACTATGCCACTTTCTAAACGTAATAAAAATAATTGCTAACTGTTTAAAGCTGAAACCTCAAACCATTCCTTATAAAGAACAAAAGCCACTATTTCCATAAATCCAAGAGACCCAAAAGAAGAAACAAGAAGAAGAAGAAGAAGTGGAAACTTCAAATTTAACAGAAAAAGAAAGAAAGAAAAAAATTAAACATGAGGATGATGACTAGCTAGTCCATGAAATTTGCTGACCTTTTATCTCCAACAAAGCTCATCTCATCCAATGCACAACCCAGCTTCAAATCTGAAATCCCCGTCTAAAACATTCTAATTAAACACATCAAACTCTTAGCGTCATCTCACTTCAATTAATTTGCTCTACTCTCTCTCTCAAAATGGTGGACGACCTCCTGAGTTATTTCCAGCCCACCCATCAATCGGCAGCTGAACATTCTGCATATTCAATGGAAGATTAAAGAAAGGAAGCCCCGAAGACGGGTCGGGGAAAGGGTTGTTGCCGACACCGCCGCCGCCTCCACCGCTACCTCCGGAACCCTGGGGGACCTGCACCTGCAACTGCTCCTCTTCATCCAAAGGCAGCCTCTCATAAGCAACATTAGTAAACGAGGAGGCGATCACGATAACGGGGCCTGCGGCGGTCAACTCACCGACCACGCTGCCCCCGACCACCTGCCCCTGCACGCCGGCCAAGAATATGGTCAAGCTCGTGGCCCCGGGCGGCGCCGGCGGGGGCAAAAATGAGCCTGAAAGTGACAAAATCTCGAACCTTCCATGAAGGGTTACTACGGAGCCTGCTGCGGCCGGCTGCCGCAGGCTCACATTGGTGACAGTGCCGCTGCCGCTCAAAATACAGATCCCACGCTGCCGGCGCCGCGCGTACGTGGCGACGCAATCGAATACATCGCAGCCGTTGCCTACCTCGAGAATATGTGCTCGGAGAGTGTTGGCGCTTTCTCTTGTGATGATGACTGGGGGCTTGGGCTTGTTTTTGGATCCAGGAGGACGACCTCGGGGCCGCCGGGCTACGATGTCTCCTGACCCGGCGTTGATGCCCCCGAGGTCAAGGCCCTGGTGATGATCTTCCGCGGAGAACTGGCCGGTTGACCTGTTGACTACTGCATCGTCTTCAGAGTCGGTTTGTTGTTGTTGTTGGAGGTGTAAGTCTTGCCTGTGAAGCTGGTGAACGTAGCGAGGAGCTGAGCCTAAATCCAAACCAGCCATGGACACATCAAAAAGAAAAACAGAAAACAAGGGGAGAAAATTATTAAAAATGATTTTTTATATAAAATTAGTTTATGGAACTGGGAATAGCAAATTAAAAACTGTTTGTGTTTTTCTGCTTTTGTTTATTTTATGGAAGTGGGAAAATTAATATATAGAGAAAATAAGAAGAGAATGGAAAAAGAAGAGAGAGATGGGGGGAGAGAGAGGGTGTGCTCCGGTACTCGAAGTTTTAAGAGTAGTTGAATTATATATGAGAGAGAGAGAGAGAGAGAGAGAGAGAGAGAGAGAGAGAGAGATTTAAAGAAAAGAAAAATAACAACGACAAGAAGAACAAGGAGGATCGAGTGCAGAGAAAGGGAAGGAGAAGAAGAAGAGGAGGGATGAGAGGAGGTGGTATGGGGTAGGGGCGACAAAGGACCCAAAACGCAGTCATTTCTCTCACAACAAAAGTTTAAATATATCACTAAATTAATATTTTGTTCAAAGTTTAATATTGCTTTCTTATTCTGAGGAAGAAGGGCATGGTTACAAGCACGACTCTCAATCTTAGAGCGTGAAGTAAACGTCATCTTCAATATAATAAGGGTGGAATTATATTTATTATTCTATTTATATATATATATAATTCTTGATCTTGATCTACTTATCAGTTATTTTGCTAAAGAGTTCAATGATAAGTCATTTGAATTTAGTAAGTGTGTTGTAGCTCAACTAATTAAAAATATTTATTCATGTATGTATATGAGGGGTTGCGTTCGATTTTCCATCTCTCAATATCATTTGTATAAATAAAAATTATAAACTCAAATTATAATTTAATCAAGGTTGATAATTTTATGGAAGCCTAAAACTATGTAGCTTCTTCTGGACATAAGAATCAGTTAAAATGATATAAATGTTAAGATGGGATGTGTACTTGTAAAATTATAGCATGTCGGTTACATTTATAGCTAATACTAATAAAATTTTACAATTTTAATTATATATGCAAGCACAAAACTCAAAATAAAATAAAAAGTGACTAATTCATTTAACAAGACAAATGAGTGGTAACCATTCTCTAATGCGGTGCTTATTTCTAAAATAGTATGATATTAGGGTTTATGGTAAGATTTATTGATTACTTTGTTGACCACCTATTTAATATGAGTACATGAGATCTACCTGTATTAGAAAGGTGGTCAGTAATGTAGTCAGTAAATGTGATATAAATAAAAGCACTATTTTATATAACAAATAAAAAAGATGAAATGGGAAATAAAATATAGTTTCAACTTTAAATGCAATATCAACATTATGATCATATTATTAGTTGGCTTTCAAAATTTAAATCACTAGCCTTGACAAAAATATAACAGATTAATCATATAAATGAAGATGGACCAATATATAGAATAATCTAAAAATGGAAAAAAAAAATGTTGACTTATGATGGTAAGTTAGTATAAGGTGATGAAGTTCTTTGATAAGAGAAACCATATGAAACAACTCTTTATAATATTGTTTTGAATGAAGAAAAAACAAACCTAAATACTTTAGCTTTGTAATATTTGAATGAGATGTGGCACCAAGAAATTATATTTAAATTGGATGGGCGAGTCTGATGACAAATTAAGGATCAAAGGAGAGCGTGAGGAAGTTGCATTTCAAAAGTTTGTGTGATCTAATGATATTCATAAAGATATGAGGAAAAGAACCTTAGATGAGAGAGAGAGAGAGAGAGAGAGAGAGAAGTGTGTGGGTGGGGTTAGATGATGGATCGCAGATGTATTGGTCATGGGGTTTTGGACTTGGGTGTAATAAGTAACCATGGGTTTGGACCTGGGTGTAATAAGTAATTAACCATGGTTCAACAACACTTGGAATAGTTGACCAGTTGGGTTAGCTTCAAACGTGACGGGGGAGACAAATTTGCATTATAAAATTACAAAAACGAGGGGTGAATGGGGCAAGTGGGAGATGGTGCTGCGGCGGATGGGCCCCACTTTTGTCTTCTTCCCCCAACCTGGACGGTCCCCTCTCCTCCTCCTCTCTTTAGCCAGCCATCCTTGCTTGACTGGCTTGGCCTCAGCTTTCATTAGCAATAATTAATTATAACAAGGACCAATTATATCATTGAATCCATCGAATATATTGATTTTCTATGATCAAGTTTTCACTTAAGTACAGGGTTATACATTTCTTTTAGGGCTGTGTAAATAAACCGGAGGACCGACGAATTGGTCCAAACCAGCTGGATGGGGCTGGATTTTCAACAAAAATAAAGTTAACCGGTTCATAATTGAATTGAACAGACTTAATTCGGTTTATAACTTTAACCTTTTAAAATTCCAATCGAATCAAACCGGATTTTGAGGTTTTTTCTTATGTATGTTTTTTTTAATGTGTTAATGTTTGATTTGTAGCACCCAATCCCCTCATTTCTTTAACTTAAGAGCTAAACATAACCCTCGTTTCTCTCATGTTCTTCGACATTTGCACATGTCATTAAATTTTTTCACTTGTCAACTCTCATCTCTTTCAAGATCTCACAACCCCTACGCTGGGTTATTTGTCTCTTACGCCTCTCGATCTCCATTGATTGATCCCTGGCAACATAGAATAGTCCCTAATGGAAAATCGGCCTCTACCGCTTTCCATCTCAATCGTTGCAACTCCCCAATTCACCACCTCTCTCATCACTTGAATTTGTCTTCCTCTCATACAAACCAACAAAACTGATCAAAATAGAACGAATAGAACCAACTAGGTTTGGTCTGGTTTGGACACTAATAGTTTTTAGTTGAAACAGATTCAATATAAGCTGTATAGGTTTGATCGATCCGTTTGACATGTGTGGGGTAGAACTGGGGCTGAATTAACCCGTGTGTACTCATATATTTTTTTTTCATATAAGGAAGAGAGAATTTGAAACTTGATACCTCTTCTAATTTTCAAAAGATAAATACTAATAAATCAAGAGCTACTTAGTAATATACGTAGTAAGTTGACCAAAAAAAAAAAATAATATACGTAGTATGAGAAAACATCAATCCAAAGTTTTTTATAAGTTATGAGGATTTTGTGAAGAAAAAGTTGAGGAATTACGTATAACGAACCATCTAAATTCTATATGAATCGTAAAGTTGCAAATCACACACTCTTAACTCATTATACATTTCCATCATCCATATATTTGATTTGTCAGTGGTATGTCACATATATGGTCATTAGAATTTGTGTCATGTTATAAGTTATACATAATACATCAACATATTTAGCCAAGTTCAATTCATCAATAACTTTTGATAAATCTATAAGAGCATTTACAATAATGCTCTCTATTTTTTAGTTAAAATTTAGCTAAAAACACACAAAAGTTATTTTAGGAGCTCTATATAAAATTTGAACTTCAATCATACTCCCTAGTTTAGGGAGTCATAAATATTATAGTTATTTTTTAATTCAATATGATTGGTCCTATCTAAAATAAAAAAAAAAAAAAAAAAAAAAAAAAAAATTATTAAAAGTTTGAATTATGCATAAAACAAAGCAACATTAAATTATAGGGAGTCGCTAAGAGTCCTTTCTTTCTCCTCAGATTTAAGAGCTCCTAGAGGTCTCCCTATTTTAGGAGGTAGATATGGAGCATGGTTGGAGTTGTATTTTTCTAATTTTTCCAATTCCTCGCTAAAATTTGTCTAAGGAGGTGGTTTAGAGAATCCATTGTGGATGCTCTAAGATTGCGAATTTTATAATAAGAATGAAATATTTGATTATTAATTAATATGATGAGTTGACATAGTTCTCAACTTCGGTTAATTTGATGTTAAACCGATAAGGTCATAATAAAATGCTATAAAGTATAGAATGCCAAGTTGAGATCATTTTTCATATTAGTACAACAAACTATATAGTTTTGAATAATGTTGGAAGATATTTTAAATTTAAACCCGTCTTCACGTGAATTTTTATTTCTCTAAATCCTAAATCCAAAATACTAAACCCTTCTTCATGTTTTTCTTTTTTTGAATTTTGTAAAATTTAAATTTTTTAAAACCTTAAATCCAAGGTTTAAACTAACTATTGAACAGCTTTACTTCTAGAAAGAAGGTTTGTGTTCCAATTCCAAGTAGGAAATGCTTCATTTCATCCGTGAGGTGCTAAATTATATAAAGACCGTGACTTACCTAACTCATTAACAAATTATAAAAGCAAAGTAAACGATGCAAAAGAAAATAATTAAGCTGGAAAGGTTCTTTCTCCACTAATACAAATTTATTACTTAATGAAATTAAGAAATCTAATTTGTTGTATGATTGGGTAAAAGTAATCCATGACCCGAATTTTTCAAACCAAATGCGGCCATTTGGAGGCGTTGAAATTTACCAATTAAATTTATGCGTGGAAGACTAAAAAGTACGTAATACTAATAATAATAATTAACCTTTTATTATAATTAAAAATTATTTTATTTTATTTTATTTTCCTTATCCATTTCATAATATACAGTTGTAATGTGAATCATGCTTTAGTGGCTAAACACATGATCGTATATATACACAAACCTACTACGACGAAGATAAAATATGGGTCGTTATCTTTGAAACAGTTATTAAAAGTGAAAAGACTAATCCAATTAGAAAACTTTTTGAGAGGGGTACTTATTTTTAACAAAACCCAATAGGGATTGCATGTACGAAGATCCAAACTGTTTAATTATTAGGTCTCGTATATGGATTATTTAGTCATTTAACGAAGACGAACTAAATAGACGAACACAATGATTTCGATAGTTATTAAAATGATCATAATGATAATCCAGTAGTCTAGTCAAGCAATGGCTCTTAAAAGTTGCTTAGAGGTTCAACTAGCTCGAAATATAACTCAATTAATATAATCTATTGTTTATGTCTTATGGTCTTATCTCTAGAGGGCAATGTATTGGTGATTTCTTCATCTTCGTAGACTTCGTTTGTAATAATTTGCATCGCAAACATGCATGTTATAGTTAATGT